TTCATTGATATTTTAAAGAAAAGATCAGGAGGAGGTTTTATTGTCGATATAAAATGTGTTTTCATTTCCCTTCTTAACAACAACATCAAACTATGTTTATCATGCTCAAAAAAAAGTTAGGTTTTGTTGAATGAATCTGCTACCCTGAAGGAACATTGTAGGTGGAAATGGAAAGAGAAAAGCTGACCTTAGATTTGACCTGCCAATGGAACAGATCATTGTTTTTAGTAAAACTGCACCAGTTTAATGTCTATGACAGAGTTGTAGAAACAAGCATTAGTACCCTGAATGAATCTGGATGTACATTTAGTCTAAACTCTTCAGAGTTATATCACCATGTGTGACAGGTGGCTGATCAAAACCAATTATATCAAATGAAAGGTTTCATTTTGACCTACATTTTGATACCAAACTGATCTTGTAGTGGTGATATCTTCTATTTCATAGTAGTTTTTAAATGTAGTCATTGTAACACGTGAGTGTGTCGTTTATGGCTACGATAAGAAACACCACTGATGTTCATGTTTTATGTGTAATCATTAACAGGAACTAGAGCACAAATGTTATTTCTAAAGACCACCTTAGTTCGTTTATGTCTGGCTCCTTGAAGTAAGAAAGAAACACAAAAGCAGTTGTATACCTGCACTCTTTGGCAAATATTTATCTTGATCAGAATTTTGACTTCACAGATGTTCAGCAAGTACTGTTTTATTTCTATTTTTTTAAATAATGCATTATGGCTAAACTCTAAAGGGAATCACAGTCATCACAGTCAATCACAATCATGGCAAGAAGGAGAGAGAACTCAGATGTTGTTTGTTCAATATGACAATGTTATAATGCTATTACTATTAAAAGAACAAATACAAATGTTGACATTTGTATCTTCCAACAACTTAATGACAATCTGCTTCACTGTATACCTTTTTTGATTTATTTATCATAAATTAATTTAAATCAATCAAACATGTTTTATTTTCCTCTTTCTCTTTCCATGTTCTCTCTGTTCTGTGAAAACACTGTTTGCATTATTTTATTTATTTACTCATGTATTTATTGACAGGATTTACTGCTTATGGTGTATTTTTGGCAAATCAATGCGACATATCAAATGAAGTGATTTCAATGAAATGCATTGGTTTAAAGCTTAGATTTGACTCATTTTCTGATGGAACAGCATGTCACACGTGACTAGTTTGAGGACCACTGAAAAGTTAAAAATGCAGTAATTTGCGTATTTTTTACAGTTTCTGGCAGTGATAAAGAGTGTAATTTGGGCATTTTTTTATCTGCTTTTTCTTCAAGCTTAGAGATTTATTTCAAGGTCAAAGTAGGTGGGGAAATATTTTTGCCTGGCTCTTTATTAACCCTCTAGCAAAAGTCCTACTGAAACACAGACGTGTGTTCCTCCTTGGCTAACAGTACAATGAAGCACACACCAAGGTTCTCTTGAAACTGAATCTCTCTGACCCAGCAGCTATGAATAGCCACATGTTTATGCAGCGAGCAAATTTGAGCCGAAGCGAGTGAGAGGATTTGAAGGTGGCAGGAAGGTTTGTGAAGGCAAACAAAGTAGGCATAAGAAAGCAGCAAATTCATCAAGACGAGGTTTTGCTGTATATTAGCAGTAACTGTAAACTCCACTGAAAAACAACAGTAATGCAAAGAGAAAATAACCAGTGACATGGAGTTTACTCGGCGTTACCTGCCAATGGATTGGGAAGAGCGATGGAGGAGAGAGAAGGAGAGGAGAAAAAGAGTGATTGAAGAAGGTGGAGAAGGGATTGAACAGGACAACCGTGAGCTGAGGAGGATCGTGGCTTACAATGACTCCAGGATGGGCCTGACGAGTGGGAGGGGCAACAATGAGGGGTCAGAGGTCAGAATGAGTGGTGCTGGTCAGGAGAGAACTGGGGAGCTCATGAGCGATGAAGTATTTGGAGACGAAGGGCGTAACATCCACACTTGCTGCAGCAAAAACTATCCTAAAGAGGTGTTTGCATCCCTGCAAGAATTGTGGGATTCATCTCTTCTCACAGACCTGACTCTGACCACTGAGAATGGGAACAGCTTCCATGTGCACGCCCTTATCCTGGCTGCGGTCAGCGGTTTCATTCTGGAAAGGCTGAAGATAAAATGTGGAGAGCAAAGTGTCGAACAATCAGATAATGAAGAAGCTTTACAAGTCCATAGGTGGTCAGTACACACGGGTGCTGGAGTTGACCATGTTGGGCTTCGGGCAGTTGTGGAGTTTGCCTACACTGGGGTTGTAGTGTCTTTAAACAAAGTCACCATGGCTCAAATCAAGGCTGCTGCTCAAGTGTTGGTGGTACCAAGACTGGTGGAGCTCTGCAACAACAAAGAAAGACTGAAGGAAGGTGATTGTGCCTTGAAGGAAGAGAGAACGGTCTCTACTGTGGAACAGATGAAGATTACTTTTCAGGCCATTGAACAGCTGTGGGCAGAAAGAGTTGGATGTGATGTAACTTTGAATGTGGATGGCTCTTTCTTTCATGGTTAGTATGACTGTAAATCTTTAGGGAACCTTGATAAATGTTTGATAGTGGTCAAAGGTTGAACTCTTCTTCTGTCCATCTGAAGTTCACAGAGTTATCCTGGCAGCAAGCAGCGACTACTTCCGAGGCATGTTCACCTGTGGAATGAGGGAGTCTCGTCAGACTTGCGTTGAACTTCACTTCTTGTTTGCTCCTGAGTTAGAGGCACTTATTAGTTGCTCCTACAGTGGAAACCTTCTGCTTAGTTGGGACTCTGTTTTCGAGATCACCTGCACGGCCCTCCAGCTTCAGTTCCAGCCTGCTCTTTTGATTTGCCTCAACTTCATGCATCAAGAAATACAGGCAGACTCCTGCCTGGATGTGGCATCTTTTGCTGAAGCTTATGGAATGTCTGAACTTCTGGAGGAAGCCAATGACTTTGTACTGAGGAACTTCAGGGAAGTGTCAGCCACAGCAAAGTTTCAAGACCTACCAGCAGAGAAGCTACTGAACTTCCTTTGTTGTGATGGTCTGTGCGTGCCGTCAGAGTTGGCTGTATTTCGAGCTGTGATCTCATGGATTGAGGCTGATCCTGAGGAGAGATTGGCCCAGGCTGGCTTGCTGATGACAGGAGTTCGGTTCCCCCTCATGACCTTTCGAGAGTTCAGGGAGGTCAGAGCCATAAACCTGCGCATGGAGTGCTTTGGAGACAAAGAGGTTGAACTCTATGGTTCGGCACTCAAAGAATTTGGTTTCAGCCTTCCAAAATCCCAGGATCACTGTCGGGTGAGGAGGCCCAAAGATGTTGTGGTTCTTATCGGGGGTGACCAGCTAAATCAAGATGTGGGCCACCGCATACCGAGCAGGGAACTGTGGTTTGTGAACTCCCTACGTTGTGGCACGGGGTTAGTGAAGGATATTGAATGGAGGAGACTGAGTGAGATTCCAGACAAGCCAAAGTTTAGACATGGAGTCGCAGTAATGGAGGGGATGCTGTATGTAGTTGGGGGATGTTACTTTTATGCAAAGGATGACATAATGAAATCTGCCTACAGGTAAAGAAAGCACAGTCAGTGCACAAATATTCTCCTCTCTGTGCATCTGTGGTCTCAAGTTTTGCTCACACCTTTGCTTTTATTGTCAGGTACGACCCTGTGAAGGACAGCTGGAAGAGGCTGGCTGACATGCAAGAGTTCAGAAGTAACTTCTCAATGGTGGTACATGAGGAGCGCCTCTACGCCATTGGTGGAGACAAGGACATCAACACCAACGTTGACAGTGTTGAGATGTACAACCCAGACACTGACTCCTGGAGGTAATATCACCTGAAGTTGACCATTTGAAGTATCAGGACAAGCTGAGTCGAAAATCGAACATATCAGAAGTGTGTTGGGCCACTGTTGAACAGGAGTCATGCCTCTCAAATTACCACAACATTTAAAGAACCCTCAGACATTTAAAAAGAAAAGTGAACAATGTTTATAACTGAGCATAATATTAAACAAAATATCAAGAATGAAAGCTGTGAGTTTGCATATATGGTATTTTGACCCTTCCTCATTCCATGCATATGCAGTTCTAATGCTTGGACAGCAGATGTCAGCATTTGCTTGGAAACAGTTGTTTCAAAGTACTTCATTGCTTTGGAAAGCTTTAGCTCCTCCATTTCTGAGCACAATTGAACATTAAAAAATGAATTTTAAAAAAATAAGTAGGATGTTGACTCTATTGCAAAACTTGAAATGTTGTCATCTGACTGAAATTAATACTTTATTTCACAAATGTTGCATTCAAGTCAGTGGGGACCCGCTACACTGTTGTATTTGGGCCTTTTGTTATCAAGTTTAAATTCAAAGAAGACCAACTATTTTTACAATCTAAAACATGAATGAAAGTCAAGTGGTTCAACAGTTTAGGTACTGTCCATTCACCCAGCATTGAAGCTGGGGGGCGATCATGTTTTGCTGAAGGGTTTTTTTTGTTTGTTTGTTTTTGGGGGGGGGGGTTTGCATCATTGGTGAAAAGTTCTGTCATAACCTTTCAGCATGTTGTAATTGTGGTGGCCTGAATGGAAACTCTTGGCTCTGTTTTCAGGCTTTAGAAAATCTAGCCTGTGATAGACAGTAAAAAGATCAACAAAGGGTGGAGCAAAGGGTTAGAGGTTATCACTGGTGTGGAATCCTGTGTTTGCCTCTTGTTTTTCCTACCTCAGCTTTAGTCAGTTCAAGTCATTAACAAACAATTGAGCTAGCTTAGAGCATTGTCTGTTAAACCCTTTTTTATTTCCAAATATAGGGACCGTGATACTATTTGTAACAATACTGATACCCAGGCACAGTGAAAACCCAATAAGACGTGAGGAAATTGACAATGCAAGACTTAATGTGTCTAAGCACAACACCTTTATGTCTGTGTTGGTATGACAGTTCTTGGTTTTATTTCTGGGTCTTTTCCTGAAACTTTAAAAATGTTCGGCCAGCTAGCATTTAGTTTCCAGACTGTCTTTAGAAATTATGTTCATGTTCAATCAAATGTGATCATTAATAAGAACATCTCATGAATTTTAGGTCCATGCTCCTCATCCAGCACAGGTTTTTATTTGACACTATTTTTTTCATTAAGTATTTGGTTTCCCAGTGACACCAGTCATGCAGGTTAATCTCATTGATTAGTGGCTTGCTGTCAGTTCGACTGACACCCACTGTACATGCACAGACACCCGGCTGATTTTACCATCTGATGCCTTTTGTTTCATTTGTCACAGCTTTGCCCGTCCTCTGGATCAGGCTCTGAGCGGCTACGCTGTCGCCGTTCTAAATGAAGGGGTTTTCATCTCTGGTGGTTTCAACTGTGAGTATGTGTGTCTGGTTTCCATGTTCTTGTACCACCCAGAGAGAGGAACCACCTACCTGGCAGACATGACGAATGAGCGGGCCCAGCATTGCATGGAAGCCCTGCAAGGCCATCTTTACGTCGCCGGTGGAGTGTGCAACCTGAGGAAGTTTTACACCGACCAACAAGCCTGCGAGGTGTATGATCCTGTGGCCGATGCCTGGACTGCCTTTGCGTCACTGCCTGTGCCCCATGTTGGTGCAGCCTCAGTTGTCCTGGAGGAGAAGTTCTATGTACTGGGAGGATACTGCCAGGATGACTACAGTGAGTCTGGACTAGTCCATCGCTTTGATTCCAGCACACAGCGGTGGGAGAACATGGGCAAACTGCCAGGGGCTGTTACGGACATTCAGGCCTGCCTGCTCCGATTACCCCAGCACCTCAGACAGTAAATGACTGGTCAATAAATCCACTGTGGCCGTTGTAGTCAGAAGAGTTAAAGATCAAAATATGGCAAAGATACCAACATAATTGTTTGTAAGTTAGAGGTTTTTGGGTTGATTATGAGCAGATTTTATCTAGATAAAAGTCCATTGCTACTTATTGTAGTACTTTTTGAATAAATATTCCACTACAACACAGACAACTCAACCAACAGTCCATAAGAGTGAAGAAATGTTTGAGTAGACGTGGTTCCTGGATTCAAAATCAGTTTGTCTGAGATGTTCCTTGGATGGCATGTAGACTCTAAAGTCCAAAACCTCTATTTTTTTTCATAAATAGTCGCATTTATTATCACAGCATGGGCATGTTTCACCTTAAAACTCTCAAGTGTTTTGGCATGAAGCCCTCATCAGCGAGTCAAACAGATTTCATGGAGCCAATCTGTGGAACCAGGGAAACCACAAATCTTACATTTGGACGTGGTGTTTGTGGCATAAACACAGTGTAAGCCTATAAAACCTCCAGTCAGTCACCATTTTGACACACAGTATTTTTCTAAATTATAACACAATCAATACCAACAATAGCAATGGTTTACAAGAACAAGCAAATAATTTTGTTTGTGCAATTTTGACAAACATTGTGTGCAGTGGCAATGCAAGTGGAAGATTCCTGTTGGTGGAACACCACTACGAAAGGACATGAAACCTGTTTGACCCCAGAAGAAGGCTTTTATAGGTTACACACAATCGTACACACAATCATGCCATTTAAATAAAAGCATTTTAATTGTTAAGAAAAAAGAGTGTCTTGAAGGTTTAATGTGATGATATGAGTCTCTATATGCTCTCCCGTATTGCTCAATGACAAAAATAAGCTTTAATCAATATATAGAGTCAGACTATTAAAAATTGCTTCATGAGACTACTAAGCCAAATATCCCTAATGTTTTGTGAGTAGTGCATTATTTTTTGTGCGGTATTAGTTTAAGCAGACTGTGTTTGTCTATTGTTGTGACTTAGACGAAGATCAGAACACATTTTATGACCAATTTATGCAGAAATCCAAGTAATCCCAAAGGGTTCGCATAGATGGTGGAGAAGGGGTGAAGGTGATGGGTTGAAGATGGGGGGAGAAGAGGGAAGGTGGAGGGGTGGATGGAAGGAGTGGAGGAGGAGCTGGGAGAGAAGGGGGGAGGCAGAGGAAGCTGGTGTCACTCATCCTGAGCTGAACAAGAAGCAGCTTCCTCCACCTTTGTGTTGCCTTCATGGTTCCTTCCAGCTCCACAAACAACTCAGTCGTCGATCTGTCAAGATATCAGATGCTCTCGTGTTGAAGTTCACCAATGAAATGAGCTTGTCCCTGTCTCTGATTTATAATCTTTGGTGACACGGAATCGGAACACACCCAAGTTTCACTGTTAGGCGGAGAAGATTCTCGAACTCAAGTGTTCTCAGTAAGAACCAAGGATTCTTTGTATATGTATATTTATATGTGTGTGTTTTCTTTGCATATTTTGACAACTGTTCACACAATCCTCTTCACACGTGGGTGTTGTGTTGCTGGAGACCTGAGGAAGTGTATCGTTGAGTTTGAAGCAGATCGGATTAACGGGGACCGTCCTCGGTCTGGTCTTTGGCTGCCTGTAGGGGGAGCTCCTCAGGGGCTCAGAGGACAGAATAATGCAGGTGGCAAAATGTCTGCTCCAGGTGGCTGACTTCTGTGTTTCCTTTCAGTCAGACCAAAACATTTAAAATGATTCATGTAAAACATCCCAGTCTGGAGCATTCAGATTGACTGGCATGAGGTGCTACGAAGACACAAGACAGCTTGAACATTTTCAGGAGCTTGCTGCCATGAAGCTCGTCATTCAGAGTTTCTCTTCGTATGTCTTTTACAGTTGCAAGAAAAAGTATGTGAACCCTTTGGGATTCTTTGGATTTCTGCATAGATTGGTCGTAAAATGTGTTCTGATCTTCTTAAAGTAATACTGCACAAAAGTTCTGTGTTTTCAACGCCAGCTGAAGCTCAACAGAGGATGGGTGATGCAACAGGACAATGACCCAAAGCATAGACGTAAATCAACAACAGAATGGCTTCAACAGAAGAAAATACGCCGTCTGGAGTGACCCAGTCAGAGCGCCGACCTCAACCGGATTGAGATGCTGTGGCATGACCTCAAGAGAGCGATTCACACCAGACATCCCAACAATTCTGCTGCACTGGAACAGTTTTATAAAGAGGGATGGTCCAAAATTCCTCCTGACTGTTGTGCAGGTCTGATCTGCAAGTTTGGTTTCAAGAAAACCTAATTAAATTAACCATGATTTACTGTTGACAAGAAACAAAATGAGGAAAGCTTCTAAGGGGGTGAAAACTTTTAATAGGCACTTTAAATACAGAACATGTTTGCAGGTCAGAGGGGCAATTGTTGCACATTGTGACAGTCCTAAGGTCCAGACGTTTTCTAAAAAAAAAAAAAACTCAGTTTCAAGGACAGTTCAAATATGCTGATGCAACACAGCCTGTTGGAGGACATGGGGCCCTATGCACAGTGCACATACAGCAAAGCATGGCTCTGTTTTACTGGCAAACACACTTTAAATCCTCCCCACAGGCCTGTTGAGATGTGACTAGAACTGGGCTTCCTCACTCACTGACATCCAAGGACAGGTTCATAACCCACTGAGGAAAATCCTCCCAACAGGTCACACATTTGAAAAAATGGACTTCACCGCTTTGCGTCTGCTGATCCTGCTGGGATTCATGCATGTGGAGCCAGGATTTGGACAGAGAGATGACATGGACTTCAGTGAGTGGATGACGGCTAATCAGAAATATATAAAAAATTTGGTGCTCAACCTGACAAATGCAGAGCAATGCAGGAGTGATGTTGAAGCTCTGGACGCCAGGCTCAACGCGACTGTAGACGAGCTGACGAGACAGAAAGCTGAAATAGACAATCTGAAGACGGAGAATGAAGGTAGAACACAATGTCTGAATCATTATGACGTATATTCTAATCCAAAATGTTTCCTCATTCATTTATCTATTGATTGTTCTTGTGCAGACCTGAAAGCCAGACTGAATGCGACAGAGAACGAGATTGGTCAGCTGAAAAAGAGCAGTGGAAAAGGTAAGATGATTAAGTCGTACTAATATCCAGTATTTACATGCTGGAGTAAATCTTTCAAATCTTGCAGGACTAAATAAAAGAGATTCCTCAAGTGGAAACGACATGTCATTGGTTAAATAAAGGAAAAATAAATTAATTAATTAATTAAAGCTGTGAAGAATTTACGTTTTCATTCAATACTGCCTGTGTTTTCATGTCTGAATTAACAGCAATAGGCACTTCTCACTCATTTACATCTTTCCCATGAACATTTACAGTTTATTCTTCCGTCCACAGCTGCTCCTCAGATTGCATTTTCAGCGTCTTTGGCGAACTCTGGTGAGATTTACAACGGACCCTCCACAGACAAGACTCTGGTTTTCAAAAGGGTCTTCTCAAACATCGGCAGTGGCTACGATGCAAATTCAGGTACTGTGCACTTCAATACAATACAGCATGTTTCAGTACCATGTGATTTCACGCTGTGAGTCCGTGCTTAGAATGTGCTTTTACATTTTTATGAACACGTTTGTTTCTAAGAGTTTTTCTAAGAGCATCTGCTTCTGGTATTTCAAACAATATCGAGCAACGTAGAAGAATTTCCTGGCGCTACGTGACTCAGATCACAGTTGTGAAGCGTTTTAACAGCTAAACACAGGACATTGTTTCATTGGTTCAAACCCTTATGATAGTTTATAAAAGTTGAATTTACAGTCAATGCAGGTAGGCGCTATGGCATACATTTCTCTTACATCATAAATGAAATAATAAGGTAACCCAGCTTCTTAAAGGCTGTAATCTGCTGGATGTTTGCTTCCAAAGTAGCTCTGCCTCTCAGAAAAAAAATAAAGAAATAAAGGTCAGTTTCCTTTTTCCTTTGTCCTGTTGCAGGAGTCTTCACGGCACCAGTGAACGGTTTCTACTACTTTAGCTTCAGCACCTATGGCTACAACACTCACACAATGGGGGCCATACTAATAAAGAATGATGTGCGTCAAATTTCGACCTACGACAGCCCCACATCAGACGGCTCTGACAGCAGCAGTAACGCCGCTGTTCTGCAGCTGGCTGCCGGTGATAATGTGCACATGGAACTGTGGGATGATGGCAGAGTGTACGATAACCTGAACGGCCACACGACCTTCAGTGGTTTCCTCCTCTTTCCTCTGTAGATGATCAAACACCGTCTACTTGCATTGTGGTTCCATCAATAGGAGAGATGCAACAGTAGGGGTTTTATTTACAGCCTGAAACATGCTGAAATGAAAATACAACAATATTCTCTGATGTTATCTTCACAATTGCCTCAATAAAATAACCTTTTCATGCATCATGATAAAAAAAAAAAAATACAGAAAACTTGAAATACAAAAAATTAACTGTCTTAATGTAAGTAATCATCTGGTTTTATGATAGTCTAAATACAAGGACATTTTTATCCCATTAACCTGTAGTATCTTGCCTTGAAGTCCATTTTAAACCATTGATGCATGGTGTCTACCGCAGTGGACAGCTGTGTATCTCACTCACCGTCATAGATATATATGTTTTTTAATCCAATTTTACATGTTAGGTTGTGTTTAAGAAAGAAAACTATCTCATAAGTTTGTTTTAAAGTTCATGCATGAAAGGAGGAAAAAAAAACTAACAATAACAAAGAAAACTGTAATACAAAAGAACTCAATGTATGTTTTTTATTGTTCATTTTTAAGTAAATTTTTATTAAAAATATAAACCTGTGATCATTCTTTAGATTAATAAATACAAGACAAGTGTTCACCAGCCTCCCAGCTAAAGTACAGCAACTACGAGAACAAGAGGAACCAGCTCCCTCTGGTGGTCTTAGTTTTTATTGCAGTCATAGAAGTGAGCTTTTTTTCTTTATTTTTCAAAATCCTGACTAAGACATGAACCTTTTTTTTCAGCACCTTCTGAAAACGGTTGAGACTTGAAGTTATAGCACCAAAAATGCACCATGTTTGATAAATGTAAACCGGCGTGCCTGAGTTCACACACTGTAAGCTCCATTTCATGAAAATATCAAGTGATTGTGAGAACGTTGCATGCAATAAACCGTAAAACCTTATATGAATTGACAACTAATGACATTTGCCACGTCGTGTTACATTCGGAAATGTTGTGGCAAACACAGCACGGATGCTCGTATGTCATTGTTTGGCCCAGGCATCCTTCCCATGTTCTCCCATCTACATGTGATGGTATCATACCGATGGACCATTTTAGTGTCACTGTAGTCCTCCTGGCTGTATCCACCCAGCAGGTAAAACTTTCCCTCCAAAACCGCACTTCCGGCTCCGATGTGAGGCACCAGCAGAGATGGGAAAGCAGTCCAGACGTCTTCTGCCAGACTGTACACTTCACAAGCTAGCTGGTCAACAACAGCAATGTTATCAGCTGTGGTGACTCCACCCGCTACGTAAAGACGTTCACCCAGGGGCTCCATACAGTGATGAGCTCGAGGTTTGGACATGTTTGCCAGATAGGTGCTTCCTGTCTCTGGATGGTACAGAAACATGGACGCGAGACACAGATAGTCGTTGTTTTGCCCTCCTGAGACGAAGATCTGCCCTTGTGCGACCTTCGCTACATGCCCACTGAGAGGCAGATCCAAGGGCCTGGTGAAGCTGAAAGAGAAAAGACCTTGAATTTAAAAACTTTTGGTTGGATTCAAAGAAACAGAATGTTGACAGCATGTTATATATTTTTAAAAAACTACTCAAATGTTGATTGTCCAAGATCTACCAAGGGTTTAGTTGATATGTTTTCTCTCACACTAAACTAGAAAGTCTTACAGGTTAAGGGATTTGAGTGTGTTGGTTGCACCTGTATTTTGAAGCATCCGATCAGTGTAATTAGCTCCAGCTGCACTACCTGCACCTGACTGCTCCTCAGCTGAATCTAATTGGCTGTTAAGGGTAGTGTGAGGCCTAGTCTGCAAATACACAGGCAGTTTTATTTTTTACAGGATTTTTTTCTTCTTCAGTCTCTTTATTCCACTTGAAAATGCAAAAACTATACTGAGGCAATGTCAGAAGCGTAATTAAACCAACAGAAGGCGACGTGACCATAACCCTGAAGCCATTCAAGAGCCTGAAGAACTCTTGCCAGTTACCAGTAAGTTACCAACAATTCAAGAAAGGGGGCAATCATGTGTGTTCACTGATAACGAAGTCCTCCTCAATATAATATAGGTCTAAACATGTAAAAGTCTTGTTTACAAGATTGGCACCAACACTTTTTTAAAAACCCAGTGTTTCCTGCCCACAGTTCATATCAGCACTTCAAACAAGTGAAGTGAATATCTTCACCCTGCACAGCATTTACCAACGGATCTGACTTAAGTGACCTGCAAAACTACATTTGCAGCTGAATGAAAGCTAAAACACACAGAAAATTTTAAAGACACACCTGTTTGAACCAGGCCTTCAGCAGCACCAATAGCAGATTTTTCTTTCTTTTCTGTCCTTATTTTACCTCATCATACTCTAGTTCTGCCTTATTCAGCGCAGAACCTCTAGCACTTGCTAGTTTCTTCTAAACCTAACAACTTCAGCCTATCAGGAATTTCAGTGAATTTTCATTGAAGCATTTTTCTATTATGCCAGGATACAATAACTTATGTAAATGTCTACAGGTTAAAAGTGTGTTGTGTTTCCAATGCTCCCTTCTTTTGGTGACATTTCCCACTGAATCACATTTTTTGTTTAAGTTTTTTGCAAGCAAATCAAAGAGATTGGTTAGTTAGACGTCAGATGTTAGATAGACGTTGGGTATATTAAAGCAAAATGCTAAATCCTTGCAGTACATAGCACATTTTGCTGTGAATCATGAATATTCTGTCCAGTGTACCTCCAAGTGTTTGTCGTGGGGCAGTATCGTTCGACGCTGTCTATGTCGTCAGGTTCACAGTGTCCACCAATGGCATGTATCTTTCCATCCAGTACAACCACAGAGAAAGAGCACCTGTTCTCCTGCATATTAGCCAGGCCCTCCCAGTTGTTTTGAAGAGGATCATACCTTCAGATGTGGTAAAAATGACAGTGAAAAACAGTGAAAGATGCATTTAAAACTATTACTGTTATTCTTAGTTCACATCTGTGATCTCGCTCACCTGTAAACTGAATTCAGGGTATCATAAATGCCATAATATTTCTTGCCTCCAAACACATACAGTTGACCTTTGAGCACAGCCACCTCATGACTAAACCTCGCTGGCTCTGGCATCTCTCCCAACTTTCTCCACTCCATGGCCTTTTTCACTCCCGTCAAGTTTCTCAAGGAATTCCCAAACCAGAGCTCTCTGCTGATGCTGCGGCTTCCCAGGTCTTCAGTGATCTGGTCACCTCCAACCAAGACCAGGCTCTCTTTTGGCAGATAGATACGGCACTTATTCTGCAGTGAAGGCTCATTGGAGCAGAAATCTTCAAGGACTGCTTCATATAGCTCTGCCAAGCTGCGATCAGACCACATGTTCTGAGACTGGACCTCTCTGAATTCCTTGAATGTCATCAGGGGAAAGTGGATGGTTTTCATTAGGTCTTTAGCAAGTCTAAGCCTGATGCGAGGCTTTGCTTGCATCCAGGCCACTACTGCTTTGAATACAACAAGCTCAGATGGAACACAGAGTGAGCAACTGTTCAGGTACTTCAGGAGCTGTCTGGCTGGCAGGTCCTTGAACTTTGAGGTGCATGCCACCTTCTGGAATTGCCGCAAGACAAAATCATCGGCAACTTCAAGAAGCTGCGTCATCCCGTAGGCCTCAGCAAAAGAAATCACATCCAGACAGGAGTCAGGATTTATTTCTTGATGCAGGAAGCTGAGGCACAAGGAGAGGGCAGGTTGGTACTGGAGCTGGAGAGCAGTACTGGTGAGTTCGAAGACGCACCTCCAGCTGAGGGGGAGAGCACCGCTGTAGGAACAGCCGATTAGAACTTCCAGCTCTGAGGCCAACAGGAAGGGAAGGGTCACACATGGCTGGTGGGACTCCTTCATTCCCAACGTGAACATGCCACGGAAGTAGTCACTGCTTGCAGCGAGGATAACTCTGTGGACTAGACAGAAGATGGCAATGATTAGATATCCCAACTAACAGTTCCAGGACTAAACCTTTTATTTATGTGCATCATTAAAGGGGATCCCTGTTGACATTGTTGGTTGTGTGCCCCACAGTTTGGATGAAAACTTATCCAGTTTTCCCATGGACCACTGTGTAGCTACTTTGCAAATAAACAGACACCAACAGGACTGAAAATGCATTTGGCAGGGCTACAAATACCAAGAAATCCTGCAGCCTGATCTTAGATACCAAAGTTATTAATAAATTATCGTCTAATGTGCTCACTCTCTGCAATGAAGGAGGTGGTATTAAGTTTCATTTAGCACCTTCTTGTGGGAAAAGAAACGTATAATAGACAAAACCAAATAGGGGCACTGTGGGGGATCCAAAGTAGGCTGCTATGAATGCAGACATTGGTGGTCTACTCACCATGAAACGACGCCCCAAGAGCTTCCAGAATCACATCGCAGCCCACTTGGTCCATCCACAGCTGCTTGACGGACTTAAGACTGATCGTTATTTGTTGTGCAGCAGAGGTCCGTTCCTTTTTCTTCTGCCCTCCAGTTTTTGTGGACTCCTCCTCTTGCTGGGTGCAGAGATTCAGGACCCTGATTACCCCCAGTGCTTGAGCTGCAGCCCTAATCTGGTCAACATTGTCCTTGTTCAGACTTGATATGAGTCCAGTGTACGCAAACTCCACGATCGCCTCTATCCCAACATGATCCACGTCTGGACCAAGAAATACTGACCACCTCTGGGCTCCTGCACTTGCATCATGGTCTCGTCTTTCATTAGCTCTATTGTTTTCTACTTTTTTCCAGATAAGGGAGCTGACAGCGGCCAGGACGGGAGCATGGACATTGAAGCTTTTCCCATCGTCAGTGTTCAAAGTGAGGTCAGTAAGAAGGGAGCAATCTCTGAACTTGTTCAAGGCGAGGAATATGTCTGTTGGGTAATCATCTTTGCTGTAAATCTTCACCTCATCTTCATCACTATCATCCCCATCCTCGTCCATCGAATGTGCTGCTTCCTCCTCATTTGTAGAATCTTCCTCTTGAAGATTTTCAAAATAATTTTGAAACTCCGCTTGAGTTGTCCAAGATTTGGTGACAGTTCCTTCTTCATCTGTCAGCTTCTCACTTTCATCTTTTTCATTCCTTTCCTGGGTAGTCCAAGCTCCAGAGAGTCCATTTTCGTTTCTCCGTGACTTTTCACCAGGAGCCTCTAAGTCATTTGGATCTTCATTCTGTTTCTCACCATATCTATCTTCAACTTCAAGTCTCTCTAAGTTGTGAGATTCGCTCCCTGAGCTTTCATTCATTGATTCCACTGAATCGTTGAATCTGTCTGCTTCCCGTGCTGTACCATCCCAGTTTTGCTGAATGTTCTCAATTGGTATTTGTTCTCTGATTTGTTCTTCCTGGTGGTATCTTCCACTTTGCTCTTGTTCTTGAAGCTCTTCTTCTTTCCCCTCAGACTCCCTCTTAACTTCATTGTCTCCTTCTTCCTCCATTTCCTTTGCTTCCTTCACCGCCCACTCTTCCTCCTCATCTACCTGCTCATTCTCCTTAATCTCCCTCTCTATCTCATTTTCATCCAGTTCCTCCTCTTCCTCCAAATCTACCCTTTCATCTGCGTCAGTCATCTGCTCGTCTCCCTTTTTGTTCTCGTTAAGCCCCTCCTCCTGGCTACTTTCTCCTTCGACCTCTTTAAATTTGTTCGCTTCAATCGCCTCCCATTCTTCCTCCTCGTCTGCCTCCTCCTCCTTAACCCATCTCTTCACCTCATCTTCGCGCTGTTCCTGCCATTTCGTAACTTCCCCTGCTTTCTTTATCTCTGTCTCCTCGCCTTCACACACCTGATTGTTCTTCTTAACCTCCCTCTCCTCCTCATTTTCTTCCTTTTCCTCCATATCTACCATTCGATCTTCTTCAACCATCTCTGTGTCCTTCTCATCTCCCCTTATCTTCTCTTCAAGCCCCTTATCTAGATCACTTTCTCCTTTTACCACCTCTTCTTCGAATACTTCTGCTTCCTTCACCTCCCATTCTTCCTCCTCTACCATTTCTTCCTTCTCCTCAACCCAACTCTCCGCCCCATCTTCCCTTTCCTCTTCACATGCCCTATTGTCCCCTTCTTTCTTCACCTCTTTTTCCTCATTCTTCCTAACCTTCTTCTCAACCTCCTCTTCCTCCACATCTGCCCTTCCATTCACTTCACTCATCTCCTTGTCTTCCTCTTCATCTCCCTCCTTACTCTCTTCAAGCCTTTTCTCCTGACTTTCTCCTTCTACCACCACTTCTTCAAGTTCCTCTACCTCCATTTCCTCCTCTTGTCCTTTTACCACTGACTCATTGTCTTCCTCACTTCTATCCTCTTCACTGCTGTCTGCATCTTCACCTTCCTCGTCCACACTATCCTCTTCTTCCTCATCACTCACCTCCACTTTAACCCAGCGTCTAATCCTCTCCCACAGTTTTTTCCTCCTTTTCTCCTCCATCTCTCTCTTCCATTCAGTCCACTTCCTCTGGACGCATAGATTAGCTATTGACATGCTGTTCATTATCCCTATAATCTGCACCAACACCTTCAGTCTCTCAAAACATTTACACCTGGAGAAGCCAAACAATTGCAGATCACTTACTTTGTGCAAAGGTTCTGAGGAAAGGTGCACATACAGTAGTAGATCATGTATTGTTGGAAGCAGCACCACTTCTTATCCTGCCTGCAGACAGCAGCTGTGTTGTCTGTTTGCTCCTCTCCTGCCTCTCTCTCCTCGTGCACATAAATATTAGAGAGTGGCATGAGTGTTCGCTCATATGACCAAACAGGCTGCTCTGTAAAGTGTACTGTATCCCTGGCAGTTGACATTGTAGACATTTTATGGAGTCAGACCTAACAAAAAATGTAAGGGCTTCAAGGACTAAATGTTTTTACACTTCTATTTTTCCATTTCTTACTAGATTTTTATCTTTTATTTATTATAAGACACTTTTGTATCTTTACATGCCATGCACTTTACCCTCATGTTCTTAAATAATTGTGCATTTCAGTTTTTTACTATAGTGATCATGTTCAGCAGTTAATAATAAAAAATCTGGGGCAAGCAAGTAATAAACATCGAATGATCTTGACTCAGAGGCAGCTGGATCTCTGCCCATCTGAGTCTATGAACTGCAACATCTTGGGGGCCTTGGCAGGCATCTTTATTCTGGGGCATATGACTTGGGGATCAGTATTAAATGCCTAGCATGTCATCAGTGGGATCACATTGCTCCTCCACATCCAAACACAGTGGAATTTGGGTCAAGGATCAACAGGCGTGTGGGGAAGAAGGAGGCCGATAGGGCACCGAACCAGACAACACCCTGATGTTGACAACACCTGTCGGCTTGTCAGCTTTTGTGCCAACAGAGAAAGCAAGCAGCTCTGTCAAGCCGTTACCTTGGCTTGAAAAATAGCTTCACAGGTTGCAAGCAGCTGACAACGGACCCCCGCAAACACACTCTCGTCTTGGGTTACCACATTGTTAGAAAGAGCAGCTGGATTGAGTTGCACTTGCTATTTATACATTCATTGTCTTTCCACAGTTTTAACCTGTGATTTACGGTCTTAAGAGGCCTCCCAATATGCTATTTGCATCTGCTACCATTCTTCCTGTCTCTATTTTACATATAACTCTACAAACTGTGATTGTAGGTCTTCTGTTTTCAACATGAAAACTTTACCTCTCAGATCCTCTGAGATCATTGGAACACTGTCATTTTGTCCATACAAATTGGATTTCTAATTACTTTGGATTTTAGCCATCACTCAGCAGTTTCAGTTTCAGTGTTTTCATCCGGAGCTCCAAAGTGTTTACACACCTCAGTGAAGTGGTGCTTGACAAAACCAACAATACTCAGCACTAATCAGACAAACCCTCAGCTGTCTTACACTGACACTGAAATAACACAAAGCATTTTAATTACATTCTCAAACCATATTTGATTTCTTGGAACCCTTATTCTGTGACTGTAGGTTCCTCGTCTTTAACGTTAAACTCTTTCCTCACATATTCTCTAAGATCATTGGAGCAGCACTTTATTTTGTCCACAGAGTGGGTTTCTAATGAAATTCCATCTATTGAAATGCTTTGAAGTTTGAGCACTGTGAGTGGGTGAGCTGGAAATGAAACTGGTGGGCAACACCTCGCTTTAAAAAACACTCCTACCTGAGGACACAATGACTGTGCTCTTTTCACAGCCATTCACATGTGAGGCATCACATGCACACATACCTACTGTACGTACACACAGCAGCATTTAAACAAGCAGACAAGTGAGTCACGTTGTTATTCAACACTACGCAAAAAAAAAGAAGAAAGAAGCAGCATGCATTTGAATAAACTGAGCTAAATATTTTACATGCTGAAATATTGAGAAGTAATGCATTTCTCTCTTGAGTGAATATCTGTGTTATTGTGTGTTTTTATGCATTCAAGCGGGTGAAAGATGCTTTTGGTCCATAAATTTACCCAAATAAGGCTGTCTTTGAGCACGAATGCTTCAGGGATTTCCTAAAAAAGCCTTAAACAGTCATTGCCCTATATAACCACCCCACAACTCCACTAGACATTAAAATGTATTGTATATTGAAACTAACTTTTCCATGAAAAACAAGGTAATCTGAAGGGAGCAGATTTTCTTCACCACCACCACGTTCACATTCTGAGTTTATACCGCGGCAGATGTGCAGATGTTTCTGTGTTCACATTATCACCTACAGAGAGTGTTTAGCTCTGGGCAGCAGCTCACAATCTACTTATGAAAAGTCTGTTTCCTCTGCAGTGCTGATTGTTACCATGACAACGCATGCAGTGAGAGGATGAGTGAAGAGCGCTAACCTCGTTATGGGACCCCCCCATCCCCGCCTCCCCTTAGGCCCTTTCCTCAAGAGCAGCCACACTGCTGGGACATAAGCCTTGTAGTCTTCTTAATAGCATAAGAGGAACAAAGAGTGCAAGAAGCAGCAATGTCTCCACGTATTAAAGGGTCAGTGCTGTAATCTTGAAATCAAAAACAAAAGTTAAATAACATAGAGAAACATTTCAGCATATTAGAAAATGCACATCTTTGCTTTTCTGCTAAAAGTGAAACAAGATTGGAGCCACCCTCATGTCTGAACATGAAGGCCCAGAGCCTGCACCCAGTTAGCTTAGCTTAGGGTGGCCATATTTTGATTACCGAAAACCAGGACACTCGGCCCGGCAATGAGATACTCAAACGATACTCAAAGTTTACTCAAAGATGTCTTATCATTTCAATACATTTAAAACCAGGACATTTTCTCACTTTATAAAAAAAACAACCAGGACGGCCAGGACAGGACGTGAAAAACAGGACATGTCCTGGGAACACAGGATGTTTGGTCGCCCTAGCTTAGCTTAGCATAAAGATGGTAATCAGGTGGTAGCAGCAAGCCTGGCTCTGTGCATCAAAACCACAATGCCATCGCCGATAACATTGTTTTGCCTTGTGTTGCAGGAGGATCAGAAAAACTCAGGAGGACCTTCAACAAACTCAGCACCCCTGAAGCTCGTCCAACCTGAAGATGAAACACTCAGGCACAAGCAATCAGTGCAGTCTCAGTGCATTTCAACGCAGCAAGGAGTGCACAGACCTGTACATTCAGGAAGCAAAGCAACCACTTCCCAAGTACAGATGAGGTTCGGGACTCTGCAGACCAATCAACACTCGTGAAGACAACAGAGAAGGTCGGTGGTTCAAAAGAGGCCATCTATGTCAAGCACCATGAAACAGAGGAGGTGGTCTTCAACACAGCTCATCGGCCGCTTACGATGCTGTCCAGCCATCCCTCCCCAGGCAGCTTCACACCCAGTCACATCTTACCGCAGGGGACCTCAACAATCCTACTGCCCACACGATGGCCGGTTGAGTCCATGACTCACATGAACTGTCATGGTGCTAACAGCCCCTCAGGAAACTTCAATGTCTGGAACTTCCTCGCAGCCGGTCAGAATGTAAGACGTCTGTCAGCTGAGAGGCCAGATGATGATGTCCTCAAGAAACACAGGCAAGTCCAGCTGCCTTTATCTCAGCACTTAGATGAACCGTGGCCACCATGACCTAGAATCTTAACAGACATACCATCAGCTTTTAAGTTGAAGTAACAGGTCTTTTTGTTTTCTGTTCAATCCATAGAAAATCTGAACAATTTGTGGATTTATGCTGCTGATTTGCAGACTGATGCAGTGTGAGATTGCCAGGAAACGAACAAAGACTTCTGAAGGTCGCTGCTTGAGAGACTGTCCCACACATCATCACTCAACACCTTCACTTTAACAGCAGTGTTTGCAAAAAGCAAGCCTGTTTTTGTCAAAATACAATCTAGTTTTATTGAACTTCTACGGCCCCATGGAACACAACAGTGAACTTAAGTGTTGAAATAAAACTAACATTCAAGACGAGCAATACAGCAGAACGAAAGAGAAAAGGGTCCTAAAAATGACTCAAATCCACTAATACAACTGATCTTAATTTAAACTGAACATTTCTCTACAGGGATGCAAGCATCTTCAGTGTGGTGTGAAAAAAAAAAAAACTTTAAGAACATACAAAAAAAACAACATGAAACATACAGTACAGAGAAGCCAAAATGGCTGTTTTTCCCCCCAGCTTGAAATAAGCAGCATGACTGATTGTCAAGCTTAGTTTTTTAAAATAATAACAGTTAATCAACACAGACATAAATAAGGTCAACATTCTTAAGCCTGATAGTTTCAACTGTAAGAATGTGAAATGTGGTTTAAATTGCTTGAACGTATTTACAGTAAGTTCCACTAAAGCTCATTTCTATTTTGAGGTCAGCTTATTATTATTATTTATTTTTTTTACTAAAAACATACACAAGTGCAGTCAGGAAGAAGGAGAACCTGTTTTTAAACCAACAAGTAAAATAATACATGTAATCCAGTCATTAAACCAACAGATGTACTGTAGATCACACACGATGGGAGCTATATCAGATCTCTCCTGCTATTGCTTTTTAAAATTAGGTCATGCTCTATTTTAGAACCGTACGTCCCTGCATTCACAAAGTATATTCCACAGAGAAAAGAGGGAAATGGCCAAGAAGGTGACAAGAGATGTGTTTTGTTTTTTTGTGTGTGTTGTTTTTGGGTTTTGTCTTTTTTTTATACCAGAAGTTAAGATGCCGCAGTAGGAACAGAGGAATTGCATAGTTCAGCAGCATTGGCTTTTACATGTTTTCCTATTGAGCTTGTTATTTTTCCCTTTTTTTATTTAAAATGTTACCTGCGCAACCCTGAAACCTTTCCCCCCACGTATCGCTCCCATGGCTCGTTAGAATAAGGAGCGAGATGAGAGGTCTATTTTTACAAACGAGGGGGTGAGAAAGTGAGACGGAAGGTGAGGTTTTTTATGACACAGAAGCAAGCACTGACTTTATGTTGTGGGGAGATTCTAGACGTAGCATGAAGGAGTTAAATATCTGAACCTGTGCCTTTTTGGTTTTGCTGGAGCCTTGAGGAGAGCTGTCACTATAAATCTAACCCTGATTGTAAGTTTTTCGATTCTAGAAGGGAGAAAATAGCATTTCATTCAAATTCAATAATTGGTTAGTGTACTATTAGTTATAAAGAATTTCTCTTTGTGCTACCCACTACACTGTATGAGTTGGCGGAACTTTTCATTTATAAGTTTTGGAATGAAACTCCTGAAACGTTGGGTCAAGCGCTGGCCCACGGCAGCAGGAAAGACACGATGACGATGACGAGGGAGAGGGAGAGAGGCAGCGAGAGGAGGAGGAGGAGAGGGAGCGAGAGGGACGTCGGCCACAGAGACATCAGTTTGGAGCCTCGGCGGAGCTCGGCTGGACTCTTCTGCCTCTCGGCGTTGGGCTGGCAGATGACCAGCGGCCTGACCTGTGATATGCTCTCCTGGACGACAGGACAGAAACGAGAGGGCCGCTGTAAATGCCAGACTTAAAACTGCTATTCAAGTTGTTGCCGAATTAGTTCACACGATGCACAAAAGCCTGTTGGTGCCAATCTCTCTGTGCTTTGCAGTGGAATAGAGGTTTAATCAGAGTAGACTACAGCAGCTAGGAAGAAAAGTTTCAACACCAACGACAAACATCTTAATCATGCATCAACAGTGTTTGTGTAATTAGTCTCACTACCACAGGGGGGAGACAAAAGTTCTACTTTGCAGGTTCACTGAAAACTTGAACTTGTCGTGTTGTATTTGTGCTTTTAGGACCTTAACCCTTTCAACACTATAGCCCGCTATACCGGTCTGTGGCTTTCACCCCGTCCACCCTGCAGCCCGGTATAGCAGGCTATGGTATAAGGCGACTTTCTGTTACATTTATTTTGATTGGCTATCAGTGGGAATCCCCGTACGAAGTAATAATTACATACAGGTTTCTCGCCAGCGTCATAACAGAGCAACGGCCCGTTACGCTGCAAATTGGGCCGATACGTTGTTTTCGAGGGTATGTAACGGGAAAATATTTAACAACAAGCGCCGGTGGAGTTTCGCTGCCAATGCTGTTATTCGCTAGCGTATTCGCCGTTAATCATTAGCAGCATTCGCTAAGACCCCCTCAGTATGCTGTAAAGGAATCCTGGAGAGGACTCTGACATATAGGCATATATCCCTCGTAATTCAAGGCAAATTTACTTAGTGTTGAAAGGGTTAATGATCAAAAAGCAGGAATCACAAATGAGCAGCAGGCAAGTAAAAAGTATGTTCCACAAAACCTCCAATGCAGTCAGTGACTTCGGTTAGCTTGTAAGCTACGAGTGAGAAGACCACAGACTGTAAAAGATAGCCACCTCAGTGTCACCCATTAGTTTGTGGATAACCATTATGAAGCCTCAAGTTTGGAATTCGGCCATCATGACTTTTGAAAGTCTGCATGACATGACATGACTGAGGTCAGACTCAAGGATGCTATATCACGTGGTGGTGACCTGTCAATCAAAAGGTAGCCACACTCTAAAGCATACCTGGCATCATCGTCTATTTTACTCTAAATGGGACTTAATTAAAAAAAAAAAAAAAATGCCATGTCGTACTGAAGGAGACTTGAAACTAACTATTGAGATCATAAACTCATTAGAAAAGTGTTTATTGAGGTAATAACTTAAGTGAGAAGTAGCGTCATTTTCTCATAGACTAGAGTTCTTTCTGCATCCAGAACAGTCGCCCCCTGCTGGTCGGTAAAAACAATACAGGTTAAAGCACATCTGCAGTCTAAGGTGGGACATGCAACTTTTCTATTTACTTGTCCGCATCAAGTGTTGTAAAACCATAATTGATAAAACTGAAAAAGTAAAGACATAAATGTAAAATGTAAATGAAAACAAAACAACAAAAATGTAATGAAAATAATCCTGGAATATCAGGACTCATTTAACCAACACCGGTGAATCCATGTTTCACGTTTCTGTTATTCACCATCAATTATAAACACTAGAAATTAATTTGACCAAATAGTGATTATGAGATTACCCCGGATGGAATAACTGTCTCCTCCTCTTGATGTTCTGTACCAGTGATGAGCAGATGAACAGCTGATCAGACTTAACGTTGCTGTGTCTTTACCTCCAGTATGGTCCTGCTGTGTGCTCTGTCAGGACTGAGCCTGAGGTTCCAGCGGTGGGATCTGTGACTCCGCCCGCCGTCGTCTTCGCTCTCCGTGGTGTCCTGCCGCGCTACCCGAGGACGCTTTCGTCTCCGCGAGCTGATTCGCTGGAGCGAACCGGGGTCCTGGAGTCTGAGCCGATGGAGTCAAAAGGCACAAGGTCAGAACACTACACGGGAAGAAAGTTAATAGTTGGATGCACGTGTCTGTCATCACACCTGCAATCTGTGTCTTCTATGTCAGCATCTGCATCACTCTCCCCCTGAGGGTCAGATAGCACACACTCCTCCTGCAACAGAAGGAAATTAATCAAGCATGCATTATGTAGTCAAATATAAAATCAAAATGACACACAAGATGCTAGAAGCTGTTAAGTTAGACTAAACTATGACAAGTAGGTTTTTTTTTTTGAGAAAGAAAAGCCTCTACATCTACAGTATGTGGGCTTTTATTTTGTAGTTTTCCTCCATGAATCATCCCTGACCGTCCCCATTTGTAATCCAGAAACAACACTTGATGATGGCATTTGCGCTGTGTGAGTGTGTTCATGCGTCACTTTTTGTTATCGCCGTCGCTTTATTGTGCATGAATCAGCCGACACCTCTACCCATAACATGACTAATGAGCTCAGAGACACTTAATCTGGTGGTTGTTTTCTATTTATATCGCGGTGGTATCATCGATCCACTCATCTAACTCTGGAGCAAATGAAGGAATAGCCCAAAGAGTCCAACTATTCCTTTAAATAAATTAGTTACCAGCACATATGTTGAGTATACGTATTGTACAGTCGGAATTTTGGACAATAGAAGTGTTGTGTTAACTGAATTTATTGGTGGCAGAGGATTAATTCCATTAATTATTCTATTGCCCTCAGTTCTAGTGAAGTGAAATTATTGTTAGAGGCTTTTTGATTTACAAGGACACAATACACAGATAAAACATTCCCTACTTTGGAGTCTGTTGGCCTACTTAAGTTTTTTTTTAAAGGTAATAACTAATAATTATCTGCATGTTGTGACCACTACCAGTAACTTCAGGGCTGCAGATATGACTATTACATTGTCAGTTCATCTCTTGATTATTTTTTCAAACTGCCGATTAGTTGTGTGATTAGCAAACGGTGAATAATGTTGATCAGTGTGTCTCAAAGCTCAAAATAATCACCTTAAATGTTGTGTTTTGCCCACAACAAGTTATTCAGGTTGCTGTCATAGAGGAGTAAAGGAAGCAGAAAATATTCCAATATTAGAGGCTAGAATCAGAAATTAGATTTTGACTTAAAGCAATGACCAATATGCATTATTTTAAAGGTCCTGTAATGTTTTCCTTTTCAGCAAATTACCCATCCCTGCAGTGTGTCTTTCACATTTTCATCTTAAAATACTACAAAGATGGTTCATTTCACCGTGACTGTACGACGTTACACCCCCGAAAACTAATGAGCTGCTGCTGTCCCCACCCACTTCAGGAAGAAAACCTTCTCTGTGTCTGTGATTGACAAACACTGCTCAATACGTAACTGCTGAAAATGAGACTGACACCTAAAAGTGCTGGAAGGCTGACGACTAGTTGTGTGAGGATTTGAGGAACGGCAGAAGAAAACATCTTCATATCTCAACAGATTTTATTTTACACCAAACAACCACAAAACAAAAGGAAAGTGGATTTTCTCCATGTGGGACCTTCAGTAGGTGACAACTAATTGCTTAATTATTGCATTAACCTCATTTTACAACATAAATGTGTAGCAAGACTTTACCATATCTCGAGTTAAGAATGTATTATTGTTTATATATTTTCCATTTTTGTGTGCGTAGATGACTCCTAATCTCCACATTGATGAGACAGAGATCAACTGTTAGTCTAATAAGCTTCTGCTCTTATCTTGTTTATAACAATTTTTGGTAGAACACGCTCTGGGTGGTTGTGTTTAGGGCCTGACTTATGAATGAAGAGTGGATTTTTACTGAACTATTGGGAGAGTGACCAAACATTTTTTATTTATTTTTATTGCAGGTAAGCTCCTCATCCTGTCGACCTCCCCTGGAGATTTCGCTGTTGTTGGTTTTGAGTGGCGGCTGAGTTTGCAGTGTGGCAATTAGCTGAATGAACTAAAACTGAATAATTATAAAATCATGATGCTGCACAATCAGTTTCGCCTGTTCTCTAAATATTTTCTCACTTCTAGACTCGTCGACTAGTTACTGTATATTGTTTCAGCATCGACATCGTGATGCACAACAGCAACACACACATCGTTCTGCAACTTGTTTGGCTGCTCGGTATAAAGAGAAAACTCAGAGTAGGATCGCACGGCTCTAATCTGCAACAGAAGTCTGTCTGTTGTCCGTAAACGTATGGAAATATTTCAGCAGCAGAGAGGACGACGTTGACCAAAACCAGGCTTTCTGTCGGCACTGTCTTGGAACTGTTGTTGCTATCAGAGACGACACGATGAATTTGTTTGACCATTTAAATCAGTTAAACTTAAAACTGTTGCTGAATGTGTTTTAGTCAGTGTGCCTAAAACAAAAACAACTTTGCATGTCTTTTCCACTTTTTACTAGATCAGTTTTTACATTTGATGCACATGCACTCCCCTACAAAGTCACCCAGTGGTTCTAAAATGATTAAATGCCTGCATTTCTTCATATGCAGCCCTATGAATTAGTCCAACTTTACATTTTCACTTAATCGACAAGGAAGTGGGTCATTAGAGGGACAGCCCTGTAGTTCACAACCTCCTTGTCAGACAGCAGAAATTCCATTCACATTACTACGGCACTTATTTCATTTTCTTACACATCACCATCAGCTGCCAATATATCCACATCTTCCTAATTAAATCATCATCGCCCTTTGCTGGGGCCCCTCTAGGCCTTTGGGTACGGTCTAATGGTGGACCTGATATATGGTCCACACCTCATTTTAAGCTGCAGGAAAAAAAAACCCAGCAGCATCCGCGTCAATCATCTTGCCTACATGAACCCTGGTGTTAGTCACGTCCGCCTCACATGCTCGAGTCTTAAAAACCTGCCAGCTGCCTGCCAGAAGAGCTGCAACACACATATCAAAGTCTTCCAAGGTGTGAAATCTCCAGACTCCTGTAAGATACAACACAACTCCCGGCGTCGAGCAAACGCACAAACATAAAGAAACGCACGCATATGCTCCACGTTACCTCTGTGCCATATCCCTCCGAGTACCTGGTTACCATCACTCTGTTTTTTCCACAGTGTTCACACAGCAGCGTGTCCTGAGAACAGAGAAGCAGGAAGAAGATTGATGGACTGATTGACTTCACACCTTGAACGAGATACGACAAACCTGACAGTGAAATATAGTGTAAGAAAAAAAAAAACACACAGAGGCAGCAGAAGAGACACAGAGAGGTCGGCGGCAAGCTAAAGGCAGATATTTAGAGCGAGTTACAGATGAAGGAACACTCTGGGCAGGTTGAGCGACGGCCACAGACACTTAAGTGGGAAGCCTGAGCACTCACCGGCGTAGGCGTGTGTGCTTCTGAATAAAGTGTACAGGGACCAGCCTCGCACAGACACACTACATCCACCTCTCCACAACTCGCCCCCATCTGAGACAGAGACACAAAGACGGAGAGGATAAACAACTGTGATCTGTTGACTTGTGTGAAGCTTTTATCGCCAGCCAGCAGCATATTAACAAAGTTAAAGGAGCAACGCTGTGATGGGCTTATATAACGTATCGCGATATCACTTCGAATGAGCAAAAGTTTTAACGTCGTGCATCTGTTTTAAAATGCTTAAAAATGAAAGACCGAGTTATGAAAGCTGAAAAATCCTCATAATTAAGTCAAAGGAGCAAATAGCATCCGACGTCCAATAAAAGGCACAATCATGTTACCCCTTCACCAGATGTCTCAGTCGGACAGATCAGGTTATTACGTGTCAATTAAAGGCCTTAAAGCGCGACACTGAGTTTGCAGCCTCACCTCACAGTCATTGTCGGACGTCTCTCCGGAGGTAAACAGGCCGTGGGAGTCGGATTCCCTCCTCAGCATGACCTCTGCCCTGATCACACTCACATAGACCTGCACACACACACACACACACACACACACACACACACACACACACATTACTGCCTCCTAATGAGTTGTGTTGAAACCTGGTATAAATATCAACATAGTGATACAGGGTGCACCATCTTACATGTATATAAGTAATTACTTTATGAGCTTCAGTCAGTCAGTGTCTTTACTGATGTAAAAATTAAATATCCAGTTTAATTATATAAATATAAAATGTTTTAAAGTTCCCCCAAAATAATCAATGGACCTTTTCCATGCATGTGGTACTGAATAATGCAACACATACATTTTTTTACTCTTCTGATTTTACTAGTTATTATCTGTAATTTAACTAAACAGGGAAATCTGTAAAATACCACCTAAAAAAAATATTCACTATTTTTCTGTCCTTATAATTAAAATAATTTGTAGGTTATTATTTTTTTTGACTGAAAATACTTGTAAAATGTGTACATTACTTTGAGTTTACGCTTGTTTTTTATGGTCAGCATGTAAATTAACACTTTTCTGTGATTCGTTTATTAGTTTATTATTTTATTTTTTTCTTATATATTATTTTATCTATTAGTTAACAAAATAGGGAAAATCTGTGAAATAACACATTAAAAAATTATTCACTATTTTTCGATCCTTAAAATTAAAATAATTTGTAGGTCAATTAGTCAATTTTTTTGAGTGAAAAGACCTGTAAAATGTGTACATTACTTACAGTTTTTTCTTGTTTTTTATGGTCAGTATGTAAATTGACACCTTTCTGTGATTCTATTAGTTTATTTATTTATTTTATTTTTGTATTATTTAGTCTATCAGTTAACAAAACAGGGTAAATCTGTGTTTGTTTGTTTTTTATATTTTTCAACCCTGACTATACATAGTGCCATCATTGGAAAGTAACATTTTGGCTAAATTTAATACTGAAAAAAATGTGATTTTTACAGTAAAACATTGTAAATAAACAAACTACTATTTACAATAGTACAGAGGATTGATGTGGACATTATTTAGTTATTTTTTTTTTCTTTTGTTTGTTTATTTTTTCAGTGTTTTTACAAGATATTGTGTAGAATTTCACTTTTTTTTTAATACACGTAAAAACTATTTAAAGCATATTTTATTAACAGTGAGAGTAACTGAGTAATATTAAGTTGGATTTTTTGATGTATTAAATGTTCCTAATATTCCTATACTTCCCATAGCAGTGCCCTTTTGTTGCCTAAATATGAGGTTTAAATTAAAGATGGGCTCAAATAAGCGTGCACAATTTAAAGTGTGAGAACATGAGAGTTGTTTGTGGGGGAATAAATTGAAATAAAACTTGCTGGATGCTGCTGTGTTGACGCAGACAGAGATCTGTCATCACAGCAGCCCACTGGAACATCTGTTCAGCTCTGTCCGCACTCACATTACGTAATAACCTCCGACAATCAGAGCAGGAGAACTTTTCACATCAAGAGAGACGAAGAAGAAAAAATAAAAAAAAACCCACAGTCATCGCTCGGAGATGTTTTTATTCCGTAACATCCAAACACCAGAGACGAACCCCGGGTTGTAAAGAAGCCAACTTAGTGATGCCCGTGCGCGCCGAGCGGAGAACAGAGTGACCCTCTTACCTGGAAACCATGCCGGGAGCCGAATTAAAGCCGCAGAAGAAGAAGAGGAGTTCAGAGGATGAGCAGCGGCGCGCGGCGACGCTTGTCCGTGTGGCGCGTGGAGGCCATGAGCTCGCGCTGCCGGTGCATGCTTGACATTGTGGCGGACCGACCGTCGGTGGTGTGATGTCAGCCGCCGGTGACAGGCGGGCGGGCAGCCGCTACGGTCCGGGAGGCGCGCGCTCGTCGGGATAACGGAACGTTCCCAAAACATGACGGGAGCGCGCAGAGCGGAACGAAGGGCTTCCGTTGGCGGCGCTGTCAAAATAAAAGCAGGTAAACAGCGTGACAAAGTAGTCAGAGTAGCTCTTTGGTCATTGGTTAAGACAGTAAAGACTCACTTCAGTGCATCAGTTAGTTATTAGAAGTTTTATTTCTATTAAACTCATCCATTTCTGACTTAAAATAGCTTATATGTAGGAGGTAGGTGTAAATAGGACACCTGACATATCGGTCAAGCTGCAGTGCTTCAAAAACGGCTTCAAGTTGTTTGGTTCTTAGAAATTTACATATCTACCTGTTTTATAAAATCGCAAATAATAATTAGCAAAATCAAAAAAAAAAAAAGTATTCATTTACATGTTAACGGTAAAAAAAAAAAAAAAATCATATCAGAAATCTGTATTTTATGAGGGTTATTTTGATCTTTTGAAACCTTTAATCATAATATAACGTTTTTGTGTTTGTTTTTTAAAAACTAAACTTAAATCTGCAAAAGTAATGTTTTACTTATTTGCAGTCATTAATAGAAAAGAGGTAAACTGATTTGATTTGTTTACAGATAATAACTTGTAAAATCACGGACAAAATTATTATTTTACATGATAACAGTAAAAAACTAAACAAAACAAAAACTGTAAATCACTTCCATTTACAAAACTCTATATTTTTACAAATGGTAAATCTTTTGTTTTGTTTGTTTGTTTGTTTTGGCAGATTGGCCACACAATTCCACACTGTACTGTATTTAAACAGCAATAATATTATTATTAATATAGATATATTTGCCATCATTTGAAGTAAATGCTGTGCACATTGAGGATAAAAAAAAAGAAAGAAGTAAAGAAAATATTTAAGTATTATTTTACAGATTTTCCTTCTTTTGCTAAAATTCTGGAAAGTAGTAAAATAACAGAAAAAAAAAACATATAATTTGCATGTTGAGTATAATTTTCCAACTTTAACTTTTCAGTATTTGTACAAATATTAATTTATTCTTTTACAATGTGTGACATCTGTTGAAATGGATGTTTTTTTTTCAAATAGCATAACTGTAATAATACGAAATGATAAAATCTAAACGCACTACTTCTAATAATACAGAATGATGCTACCAGAAAAGCTCGGCATGTTGCTCCCTCTGAGTGTGTTCTCGCTCCCAGATCACGATATGAAAGCGGTTTTGTGAACCCACCAATCGTCAGATCTAAAGTAAGGTGCTGAGGTCACATACCATCACCGCTCACAACTGCCACATTGTATTGTTGCGATGAATGTGTGGTGTGAAGCAGCAGTGTGGTATACTGGTATGTAATTGTCTTTCAGGAAAATGAGATGTTCAGTTGCTTGGAAAAAAAAAAAAAATCAAAGGTATGTGTGGAATGGTTTGAACTGGATCCAAGATCTTGCCATGATAGGTTTTGGAGAAACTGACATGAAGCTCAAAACACAACTCGGTTCATCTTCGACAAGAAAAGAGTGGCCTTGTGGGTTTAAAACCACGACTTTTAAACTGTTCTAATAAAAATTGATATTAGCCTTATTAGAACAACAAAAAGTGATGTAGTTGTGATGCATGAACCTGACATTAGTCTCACAAAGCTGCATGTGGTGAGTGTCCCAGTTCACAAAGACCTTTTAAATGACCAAAAAGATCAGATTCTTGACCCTCAATTCTAAAAGAAAAAAAAAAGTTAATACTCTCAAAGCAAACTGGAAATGATTACATGTAATTTTTGCCTTGATCTTTATCTTGGCCCTGAGAGAGTCAGACTGCTGCCAGCAGCTGTGGTGGGACACACAGAGAAACCGTTGAAAAGAGATGCACTCGTTTATTTGTACAACCTCGACCACACAGACATACACAGGGAGGCTCGGAAGCTCCCAGCCATCAAAGCATATCGACTGGAAATGTCACTGGGAATCCCTACGTGCCACATCATTATCCAAACACCGGTTGAGGTTTTGTCTGGTAACTGGCCAACTTCAGTCTTCATATTATACAAATGAACACTTGTCACAGGTGTCTTTTTCAGAGGTCAAATCCTGTGCTTGTGTGACCACTCCCAGGTGTGACTTTTCAAGATGTAAAAAAGTGCATTTATAATCTTAATTTTGCTTGAAAACCCTCTCTTGATAAATAAATGCCAAATGATACTTTGCAAATAGAGCTCATTTTGGCCTAATGTCCCCTGAGTCCCGCTGCAGCCTGCAGACAGCAGGGTCACTGAGCGAGATAAAGTGTAATTAGCAGAGACCTAATGGCAGAGGGAGGGATCCTCATTAGGGCTGCATGTCGACCATGAAAACGACCCTGCAAAACACAACCATAGACTGTGTGTTTTATGAACTGTATACAGGATTGAGAGCTACTTTTCACTTAAAAAAAAAAAATATAATCAGTTGCAATGCCTTTGAAATCATGTGTATGCAGCGTAATGTTTATTAAAGACTATTATTTCAGTTTTAAGATGTTGTGGCTGCACATTTAGCATTTTAGGACAATGTTTCTTCATACAAACAAACTTTGTCATGTGTTTTTTCTCCTTCAAAGATTGCAAAACATGTCTTCCACAAAGTTGCATGTAATATGAAAGAAATGCAGCACAAAACTTGGTCAATCGTTCTCTTTTATGTGCTCATGGGGGAGAAGAGGAGGGAAGTAACAGATCTTCAGAGGCAGATAGAGAAGCTTGTGTATACACAAGTAGCAATACAAACAGGAGATGCAGCCGTGATAAGGAAATTAAGGGAAAGGGTGCAACTCAAATAAACCCAAACTGATGCACCAGCGGACCCATGCATCTCTCTCTCATGCTTTCAGAGTAAAACTCTCACTCAGTGTCAGTGAGGGAGATGAAAGTCGGGGGATAGCTGCAGAGGAGCGTCATTCGAATATTCTGGAAGTGCTGTACAAAGGCGTTCCTTGGATTTTCTCATCAGGACTAAACGCAGCCCATCAAAACTCATCGGTATTTTTTTCCCCCTTCGACTGAGGTTGCAGGTTTTTGGCGCGTGCACAGGACAGCAGTGGCCTCTTGGATCAAACACGGCTCGCTGTTTTAGATTTGAAGGGACAATCGCTGCACCCCAGGCAATTGCAGGTTACGGTGCAGCGAGAACACCCTGAGGTGGTTCAGAAATTGTGATTTGGGTGTGTGAGCTATGTGCTTCTGTGGTGGACAAGTAAGGCAGAGCATCCACAGACATTCAGACGGATACACAGAGTCTGTGAGGCGGTTGCTGACTGCACAGTAAGAAGAGGAGACCAGGGAGAAATCAAGTTTTGTTTCTGTGTGGAGCATGAGGACTAAAGGAAATATGGTTTTCATATGATCAGATCTGAAAGACTTCATTTTTTTGTAGCATGAGGAAGAAGTGTTACCTGTTTCCAAACACAAAAAAGACATCCTAAGCTGATTTGTCAAGGTGATGCAGTCAACTATCTGCAGAATTTTATTTTAAAATCGCAGACAACTCTGAAGGACCAATGAAGGAGTCGGAGCAAACCAAGGACATGACCTGGGATTTTGACCAATCCTGGGCTTCATTCCTCACGCCCGCTGCACGTCTTTGCCTCAACACCTTGGATTTTTCCGACCTCTGGGATGAGGAGGACAGTACAGAGGACGAGGGAGCTCATACGTCCAAAGAATCATCATCATCGTGCCTCCAAGTCGCCCCAGCACCACCACCTCTGCCTCCTCCTCCTCCTGCTTTGCCCTCAGCTTCCCCTAAAGGTGCCACCACTAAAAGTCGCACCTTGAAGCTCCACTGGAGGGAACTGCAGAATCTGGCCCCGCTTCCCAGGATGACTCGCTTTGGGACTCAGACTATTTGGGCCGGACTCGAGCCGGTGCATTTGGATACAAACCGGCTGGAGTACTTGTTTGAATCTAAGGGCAATAGCACCAGTTTGAATGTGGTTTCTGGGCGGCAGGTGAGAATGACGAGGCAGGAATCGATTTCTACGCTCTACAGTATCTGATGTAATCTCATGGAAAATACAGTGCAACTAAGAGACCACAGATCCAGCCCATTGGGTCCATTCATGTGGTTCTACATCAGTTGTCAGAAAATTCTCAGTCATCCAGGTCGTGGTAATAAGAAGAATTTCAGTTAAAGGAAACTGAATTGCTTTTTTTGGCTCCTGAAGATGTGTCACCTCTCATCCAAGAGGCTTCTTCAGTTCTGACTGACTGATGGGGGGTCCTGGATATATATTGCCACCCCCAAACCCCATCCTGAAAGGCGTTTAGACCGGAGACTCACATGCCTTGAGGTGTTAATGGTTGTGCAACTGTGAAATCAGATTTAAATGATGGTGAGAGTTTCTGGGGAAAGATTTCAAGACTGCATTATGAGTACAGAAACACCATTATGGTCTTGAGTTATCCCTGACCTGGTGGTTTCAAATCATTTTCCCCTGAAGGCACTGGGTCTAAATGGGCCGTTAGCCATATGATTTAGGGATGTCAGTACACATCTGGAACTCTCCATCAGTCAGTTAGAGCTAAAGGAAGCCTCACTGGAAAAGGATGAAATCACTTCAAGAACCAAAAAGAGAAGTCCAGTTGCCTTTTCCTGAAGGTCTTTGTACGACCATGACCCGGATGATTGAGAATCTATACAGACAGAAATGCTGAAATGATGTTATATATTAACTTGGATCTTGTTTTGGGGTCTGTTATTTTCATTGGGTCATATTTCCATCTGCTGCAAGAATTCAAGCCACCTCACAGCATCAAATGTCTTTCTGAAGGATAAAAGGCCTAAAATAGAGATATACAGTCTCAGAAATGTTTACAGTCCTGATTTGCGATTACCTTTCGTATCAGCTATTATGATTTCTCAATTTGCCTGCCTCATACTTTGTATTTTTATCCCAACACAGAAGCAGCCGTCGGTCTCAGTGCTGGGAATGAAGCGCAGTAACATCATCACCATCGCACTGAGCAGCCTCCCCCCTCCTCGCCTCCTCCCCCCTGCTATCTACAGCATGGACAGCAGTGTGCTGGACAGAGACGATGTTCAGGTACAGTACAGGGCGAGTCCTCTTCGAATTAGCATCTGATTAACCTTTAAATGCGGAGTTTGCTTTTTTAAGGCCAAGTATGTTCCCTCACGAACAAAAAACTGTGCAGACAAGATACAGACAATGTACCTAAAAGTGACAGAAAACACACAATATAGAAGCTAAATGAGGACTGAACTATGTACAACAGGCTGTAGAAGAGGAGCAAAAAATACATGAAGTGCAGGTGTGCTGAAACTGCGACAATGTGCTTGACATATGAGATAGTGACGTATGAATATTTATGAAGGGGATTGTATAAAAAACAAACTGCTCCTGTGTAGTTTTGGTAAACAGAGTTCTGTAGCGCCTCCCAGAGGAGGTGGAAAGTATCATGCCCAAGATGTGAAGGGTCTGTAAGGATTTCCCCAAGTCTTTGTTTGCTTTTCTTGGATGGCAGCCCTTATATTGATGTGACAAATTAAACCTAACAGTGGTGCAACTTAATCTCTTTTCACATTCCTTCTCTAAAACAGCGTCTTCAAGCACTGATCCCATCAGAAGAGGAGCTTTGCCTGATCAAAGAGGTCAAGGCCCAGAACCCCCACTGCCCTCTGGCCCAGGCTGAGCTGTGCCTGCTCACTCTGGGGGAAATCCCTCACCTGAGCTCCAGGCTCCAGCTGTGGGCCTTCGCTCTGGACTACGACTCCTTGGAAAGGGTAAGTAAAAAATGGAGCGAGTGTTGTCACCATGGCACCACCTACACGAGTAATTCCTGAGCGTGCGGCACAACAACGCCACCGTGACGACTTCTCATCAGCAAAAATGTCACCAGAGTAAAAATAAAACACAGATTTGATAGCTTACTTAGTCTATATGAATCACCACAGTGCCCTTTAGATGTATTTGTCCTCCTAATAGGAAGTTGCTGAGCCTCTCTTCCACCTGAAGTTGGCCATGGAACAGCTGGCAGCCAGCCAGACCTTCAGGTGCATTCTGGCGACAGTACTCGCCATCGGTAACTTTCTCAACGGATGTAAGGTGAGTGAACTTTACTTTATTAATCTTTAAAGCACTTTATTTCCACCCACAATTCTCACGGCGCATTTTATTCTCTCAAGGCCCGTGGCTTTGAGCTGAGCTACCTGGGTAAGCTGTCCCAGGTGAGGGACACCCACAGCCGCCAGCCCCTGCTGCACCACGTCTGTGTGCTCCTGCTGCAGCTTTACCCACAATCCTCCGACCTCTACTCTGACATCACCGCCGTTACTAAAGCCAGCAAGGTGTGTAGTTGCATCTATATGTGTGTCTTTGAGCACCAGAGTGTACGGGAGGAGTATTTGGATAAAAGAAAAAAATCTGAAATAAAGATTAACGCAGTTTATTCCAGCTAATTTTGTAGATTAGTTGGAAAATCAGTCAAATTAGGTTAAAATGGAAGAAAATGTACAATTTCAAATGAACAGTCAAGCAAATAAAAGTCAAAAATAACCAACATTTCGCTGTGAATCCACTTTACGATGCACAAACCCTTCCTTTATCTTTACAGTGCGACTACTCCCAAGTCCAGTCCAGCTTCGCTCACCTGGAGACCCTGTGCAAAGCATCATGGGAGCAGCTGAAGATGCTGGACAAGGCTGAGGAAAAGAGGAAAGGAGGAAAGGGGAACAAAAAGAGAGGAGGAGGAGGAGGAGGTGGTGATGAGGCCTTGGCTTCAGAGGGTTCGCTCCGTCACAAGCTGCCGAAGATTCTGAAGGAGTGCGAGGAAAGGCTGAAAGTCCTGAGAGCGGTTCACCGTCGGGTTATCAACAGGTGCTCTGCCGTTATTGAGGGCCTCAGAATGACGAATCAAACTGTAAAATTGGTCTTAGTTAAACTTTATTCATTGTTTTCTGTTTAATTTTTGCTTCTCCAGGTTCCACTCTTTCCTCTTGTTCCTCGGCTACTCCCGAGCCATGGTGAGAGACACCAAAGCAGAGGACTTCTGCAGAACCATCAGTAACTTTTCACTGGAGTACAGAAGCACACGGCAGGCCGTCCTCCTGCAGAAAGAGCGGGAAAGACAGAGAAGTGGAACAGAAAGCCCAGGTCCAAACACACCTGTAGGCAGGAGGAAACAGCCACAGACCCCTTCACAGGTTCTTATTTCAGATGCTTTTACAAGGAAGGATTCTGTACAAAATCAGAAGGGAAAAAAATATTTGTTATCATGCAGATTTTGTTAACTTACTGTTGATTCAGCAGGAAAATGATGAACAGTGGCGGCTGGAGGAGGTTCTGAGAACACCGGAGTCCATCTCAAGGCTTGATGTCACTCTGCCTCGAAGCCGCAGCAGGATCCAAAGTACTTCATACAACACACACTGTCTGAAACACAACTTGCTCCTGTTGACCTCTATCAAATGTGCTCTAATGACTTCTTATTTGTTGACTTCTCAGGTCCATTTACCCGGAAGCTGAAGTGGTGACCCTGCTGATCCTCCCAAAACCATTCAGTCACTGGCGATTGTTATTTATGATGCTGTTGTTGCATTGTGGTCACATTTTTGTAGCACTGTGTTGTTTATCAGTAAGAAATGGGGATATGCATGAAGCTTCACATGCCTTTACATTTTTATTCAGGTTTAAAATAAAGATGCTTTGAAATGTGTTATGATAAAGTATATTTAAAAATGATGCATTCGTGTGTGTGTGTGTGTGCGTGTTCTAATGCAATGCAATTAAATTAGCGATACAATGTGCAACATGTAAAATAATGTGCATTGAAGAAGAGGAGAAAGTGCCGCATATGTCATCAGACAGATAACAAAAATATGAGCAATTAACCAAGGCAGAGTGTGTGTGTGTGTGTGTGTGTGTGTGTAATATATATATATATATATATATAAACAAAAGAAAACCTGAATGAGGTTTTTTTTTATATAAAATATAAAAATGTTTAGATTACAAAAGAGCAATCAACACGTATATCTTGATATATCTTTTTCTTTAAAAAAATATCTGCAAAATTTATAGAATTGTATAATGCAGGTAACAGCAAAAATATGTGCAAATAACCAAGACAGAAAACAGGTTACAATTTTTATAAAATCAAGTTGTACTATTGTACTATAAAATATCATTTTAAAATTGTTTTTAAAAAATCACTACTTCTAATACCTTTTTTTTTTTTTTTTTTTTTAATAAAATGAGTTTTAAATACTAAAATATTAACACTATGAATCGTCATCAACAGCCATTGAAAACATTTTTCTATAAAAAAGTGCATTGGCTTACACATTTTTTCTACTTCCTTAGCAATAATTACATAAAAATTTGCCCAATCTGAGAAGTTTCTATAGATTGGATCAGTCTGTTCCCAGTGACGTGATTACATGAGGAATTTTTTATTCTGATTGGGCTAATATTCCAATTAGAATTGAAAATTTGGGGGTTTTCTCCTTTTTCCTAAGTGCCATTCAGTCGAGTTTAGTTTAGGCTACGGATGTCGTCACTCATGAGCCGGAACTGACAAGCGCATCTGCCAATCAACGAAGGACAAATCCAGACGGGGCGGTAAAAATGCCCAATCAGAAGCCGGGATTCGGGAGTGGGGCGTGGCCGTCTTGCTGTGAGTACGAGCCGACGCCATTTCGTGCCCACTGGTTTCAAGGTGATACATTCAGCCAGCAGAGCCGTAAGCGGATCTTTACCTACTCAAGTAGAAAGAGCGTTGAATTGTTCTCATTTTTAGTGTTAAGCTCCTGGTGAGTATTTTTACACGAGAGATTTTTTCCCTTTTTTTATTTTTTTCCTGACTTTGAGGCGTCTTTGGGACTTTTTGTTTTTATTTTTAATGCATTTTTCCTGGCTGGTGTTTCCCGAGACTGTGTTGGCTTTTAGTGGCGTACATTTTGTGATGGCAGCATAAACTGCGCAGAAAAAAACTAGTTTGAAGTAGCTTCCACAGCGATATTTTTTGGGGCTTTTGTTTTTCGAATAAGACACTTTAAAAAAAAAAAACTCAAAGAATTTTTCAGGGATGCTGTGTTGCCTTGTTGTTTATCTCAGTGTGGTCTCATTTTCATGGAGAGAAATATGGAAGAATGTTCCAGGATTTTCTGGACAGTGGTCAAAACGAGGTCGCCCCTTTTTCTGGAAATATGTTTTTACATTTTGTTTTTGATTCTCGTCCCCCCAAAAAACTTGATTTGCAGTCGTTGACATTTGGCTCGTATTTTTATATTTTCTCTGTGATCTTGGCAGTGCTCAGGCGGTATGTTTCCTGCAGCAGATCTCAGGAGTGATGTCATTTTTCAGGCAAGATGTTTTTCCCCCCCACTGAGAATTGGGGCGTTTTTGAAGGAACATTGACACAACAGTGTTTTGATGTATTGTGCAGTCATGGACAGGGGGGCTTTCTGTAGCAACGGGGGGCGACAGAATTTGTGCATTTGGTCATTTTGATATGATTATTAAAGTTCATTCGCAGGCTGAGAAAGCCGCTCACTCGTGTTTAACCTGAGCTGTGCAGCTGCTTAGACCAGGAAGAAGGCCTGCAGGAGGGCCTGTAAGTAGGTCTAGACTACCACACTTGCTTTGTCCCTTTCTTGGCTTTATTATCTTCCAGCTGTATCACTTGTATGCTGATCTGTGAAAACCAAAAAACATCCAATTTGCAGCAAAGTTTTGACAGTAGGACTGGCTGCAGGGCGGATTGACGGTGCCTCCTCCAGAAATGATCTCTGTGTTACCCCCTCCACCTCCCCTCATTCCCCCTGTCCTCTGGAGGTGTCCTTGAGCCGGAGTCCCTCCAGGCTCCGGGGGCGCTGTTCCATAGCTGACCCTTTGTTCTGACCCCTGCAAGGAGGGCAGGCTGGTGGGGGGAAGAGGGAAGGCCAGCAGCTTCCTCAGGCTGGTGGTGACGTGCACTTTGCAGCAGATATCATGTCGGTTTAGTTTGAAGATTTAGTAGGTCGAGTAAAAAAATAAATAAAACTGCAGTGAAGTCAGTTCCATTCCCTTTTCTTTTGCATGATCATTTGATTTCACAGAGACGCTGAGATGACAAAGGAGACACCAGCTCTGGCACTGTTTCTGCCTCATTCACCTCCATTCATTCCCCACAGTATCAGCTGTAGCGTTAGAGCGACGCGAAGCAGGTCGAAAGCCTCCAATGTTCATGAAATAACTACTCGTAGAACTAACTTCTGTCTTTTTGCAGCAGCTCTGGATCTTGGCTTTGTTCAAAATCATTTCAAGGTGTTAAATTATTCATTTTAAATGAATTTAAAAGGCAAAATTCTACCAAATATAATTCACATATTCCAGGAAGTATGTTTTGTTTCACTAATTTTTCAGATAAATCTTAAAAATCAGCAAAAACCTTTTTGCTGTTTGAGTTGTAATTTGAAAATAAGCAAACATCTGAGTAAAGGAGGAAATTATTTTAACTTAAGTTGTCTTGGTGGTACGATCTGATAAATCTGTTCATATTCTCTCACACATTTCCTCCCCCTGCTTGTTATATTAAGATTTCAAGTTTATTTTTTAAAAAACAAAACTTTCAAGACTTCTTTTCTAATTTTACCTTTTTTTGTTTCCCCCTTTTTAGTTTTTGAAGCCACTTTTTTCAGCAGCGACAAATCGTAAGTTGGTCTCAACCTTTTTTTTTTTTTCTTTTTTTTTTGTTGGTTATTTTTCACCTCAACTTTTGCATCTTTTTTTTTTTTTTCCTATTTTTTAATATTCCACTTTGCTTTCACCCCTTTGTGACATAGCCCATTTCTCCCCCCTTTTGGATTTCTTAGAGCAAATAGCATGTAGTGGTTTTTTATTTTTCTTTTCTTTTTTTTGTGCTGTGAAAGTAGAAAATCAAGCTGCTTAATTTTCAAACTATTTGACCCTCATGGCGTCGCAAATGAGTCGCCTACATGCTCCCGGCTTTAAGATAATCAAATGTTTAGAGTCTGTTTGTGTTGTAGCTCATTCTAATTACTGAATAACATTTCCTCGATTCCTCCTGCTCTTAGTTTAAGGGCTGACAAAGGCAAAATGAAACCATTTTTTCTGCCTTTGCTTTTGTAAAGTTGTTCTTGTTTTGTTTTGTGAGTGTGCATGTCATTTGATGGTTTTAGATCTGACTAAAACACACAGTTAGCTCCTGATTACGAGCCCCACGGTTCCCCCCATTAAAGCAGCATGCCAACAAAACCCCATCAGTTACTAACTTAATCACTAAATGCTGTTTTTTGTGCTCTTTTTCAACAAATTTTAAGTTTCATTTGCTTTTTCCCCCCCTCCCCCCCCACACACATTCATCATCATGTAGCTGATTAGAAAATGAAAAAGCTCAAGATCACTTTTTCTGCATCGTCCTTAATCTGTATTAAAGAAACGCGACACACAGCTGCGTAGGTGCGACACGTCTCCTTCCGCCAAACAGCTGCTGTCGTTTCGTCTCGTCCGTCTTCAAGCATGAGTCCTGAGAGCTGCAGCGCCTTTCACAGTTGAAGCACCAATGTCTGAACCCAACACTCTCTCACACCAGAGACATGCTCGCAATGAACCCACCTGCAAGGTTTTAAACTGTTTCGGCAGTCTGACACAGAAAGGCCCAGATGAGGCAAAGGAAGTTATTTCAAGCTGCTACGTAAAGCTTTAACGCCCTCATTCTGTCTGTAATCGAACCCCTATTAGTGCAAAAAAATGTTGAGTTTGAACACTGTGCGATCTTAGCAAACACAGTAGACCTGCAATAAACACTGCCTTTGTATTGTTGTTGAAATCTTATTGCACTGAATCACATGCACACGGAGAAATGAAGCCCTCAAAGTCAGCACCAGTCTGATCAGATTTTAAGAGCTTGACCTGATTCTTATGCAAGGTGGTATTTTGTCCTCCCACCAAATGATCTAATAAGTAGCTGTTGTCTTTGCCCAACCACACAGCCTGGTTTAGTTCAGCACCAGCCCCGTGGAGTGCATGTGTCTAAACCCTGGATATTCCTGCTTGAACCCAAACACGCCACAAAGCCTTAGAAACATTTGCTAAGCGGCCTGCCCGCCATCGCCTCCCCTCCCGATCACACCCGGTGTTGTCGACACCCTGTCAGCCTGCCAAAGCACCAGAAACGTCCCGGCCAAATCATGTAGAGAGGAGCAGCAGCCGAGCATTAAGCTTTGGCCGCGCAGCCTGCTGCAAAAACCATGTAATCCCCTGCTAGCGGCTCCCGGCCGGAGAGGGAGAGGCCTGCTGCTGGGTCAGCCCGGCTGGCAGCACCGCTCCATGTCTGGCAGGTGAGATGTTGGCTTTGCAATATCTGAAGTGGCTGATAATGAGATGAAGCGCTCTCAGGATTGAGAGGGAATTAGCAAAAAAAAAAAAAATACAGAAAAGGTTGACGAGCAGAGCCGGTGTTTACTCCTGGTGTGGTTGATTATGTGGAGGAGAAAGTAACACATGCATTTATGTACAGTTGGTGGACAAAATAAGAGAAACACTTGCATTCATGATTTTTTTGCTTCCCCTCCTGCAGTGTTGCATAACTTTGCAGCGACTAATGCGACAGCAGTGCTCAAGTGCTGCACCTAAATACCATCTTCAGTTGCTTGTGCTTTACTTAAGTAGCTCCATTTCTGCATTGCTAGAATTCAGAGGCAAATATTTACTTGATAATTTAGGTTACTATGCATAGTTAGTGTGAATAAAGACATACATTATGATGTCATTTTAAAGATTAAAATGAATCTTAACTGATCCCTGAAGGGACATTTAAAGTCTAACCAGCAGATAAACTCTATAAAGAAGTTAGATCACCTCTAGCAGCTTCAAAATAAAAGCCAGTCTGCTGAATGAATGCTTTTACTTTGAGGACTTTAAGTATATTTTGATGCTGATAGTTTTGTACTTTTACTTCAGTATAAATTTAAAATGCTTGACCCACTTATAAGAGAATATTTAGGTGCAACATCAGAGTGCTTCCTCCACCTGTGGTCCAAACGCTGTCATGTTATGTAGAGCAGGAGAGAGAAATCTAAAAATTCATGATAGCTTTTGGCACAAAACTGATCTAAAGTTGCATTTTTACAGAAGCCTTATGTCCAGTGTTTGGCTGCACATATTTTTATTTTAGCAGGTTTTCATCAGCAGTGACTAAAAGAAACTCAAAGGGATCAACATAGAAGTTTGATCACTGCCCCTGTAGGCTCATGATCTATTCCTGGTGTGTGATGAGACAATTTGGATGTTTTACTTCCATCAGCACCGAAAAGGTTGTTCTAGTAAAAGTGAATCAAAAAACCAAGGACAGGGCTTCCTTTACCCTCTGTAGACGTAGGAAATGGATTACATTTAGACATGCTTACAAATGAGTCGATTTTACAGAAATGCACTATTTGCTTTTGTCATAACGAACAATCATTTATCCCACAGGTTTTTATGGCCATCTCCTTTTTTTTTTTTTTTTCCTTTTTGACATTCCTACAACCTCCCGATCAGCCCCTCTTCCCCTTCCTAAGCCCTTCCCGGGCTTTCCAAGAAACAAACATCTTTTTGGAGTTGTAGTAGATGTCTCCCCACACCCACTGACTCCCATCTCTCATAGTCTCTCGACGACCCTCTTCTCTCCAACAGACACAGACAGGCAGGCAGACCTCCACCGAGCCGAGTACAGACACAATGGAGTGAGTGTTGGCTGCTTCCCGACCCGATCACACTGTCTGTTCTGCTGTCTCACATCGTTTTATGGTGGATGAAACTAGTTAGTGTGTTCTAGAAATACCTCAAGTTCCCTTCTTTTGCTGAATCTTCCTGTTTTGTAGAAGATAGAAAGTAGGAGCTACAACTTTCAATTCCTCAGTAACCGCATTTCCTCATATAAAGACGAGTACATGTGGCGGTGATAATGAGGATATTACAGAGTGTAATGTGTCGATTAACGGAAAATTAATCAGCAGCAGTTGTGAATCATTTCAGTGATTCATCTGTAAAAATGCTAAAAATCGACTGGTTTGAGCTTCTCATGTCAGAGGAATTGCTGCTTTTCTGTATTTAACAAGACTGCACCCTGGGTTTTGTGGTGCTGCTCATAAAAAACAAGCTATGTGACAATTCCAGCTTTGAATCTGACCATCATTTTTTGATATTGACTAATGAGTGAAAAGATGATCAACAGTTTTCTGCAGGATTTCTCTGCCTGTTTTTAGGGGCACATGCTCAAGGCTCAGGCGGTGTGATTAAAGCCACACTGCTGAAGAGCTTGAAGGTCAACACTCACTGACCTCGGCACAGAGATTATCTCAGAGTTAAAGTGCAAGCTTTAAAGAAAAGTGTTTATCAGGAAATTGAATTTCTTCTACCTTTCCCTGAACATCACCAACCTCCAGATACTGACTCATATCTCCTTCTTCCTCCTCCTCCTCCTCCTCCTTCCGCCCCAGTTGGTCGTCGTCCTCCTCCTCCAGCCTGATGGCCAGCAGCAACGTGACCAACAAGACCGACCCCCGATCCCTCAACTCCCGCGTCTTCATCGGCAACCTCAACACCCTGCTGGTCACCAAGGCCGACGTGGAGGCCATCTTCTCCAAGTACGGCAAGATCGTCGGCTGCTCTGTCCACAAGGGCTACGCCTTCGTGCAGTACGCCAACGAGAGGAACGCCAGGGCTGCCGTGGGCGGGGAGGACGGCCGCATGATCGTGGGACAGGTGTTAGGTGAGGCGCTGGATGGAATCTTAGGATCCACATTTATTTTAAATCATTGGAGATATGCAGCGTTTACAGTAGCGTCGCCTGTTAGAAGATAATTCTGTGGCACCCACGATTCTATACTGGAAAAATAGGCGCATTTTTCTCACCACACCATCCTAATTTTTCTGTTTATTTGGGAAAAATGAATAATTAGTGACTGCTGTGTCAGTTAAAATAGGTTCTTAATGATGTACAATTTTTGACTAAGCAGTGTTTGTGCAACCAGTCCAGTACTATCTGATTAATTACACATCACAAGCCTATCAACACTGTAGAATCAATGTTCAAATATTCAACATTTTGACACCCAAGGTTTCATTGCAAATGTATATTGGTTCCAAATATTGGTTATTGAGTGACCCTCCAGAAAACAAAGCGCCTGTGTGAAAGAGAATCTGTGTAAAACTATATTTTGTAGATTTTATAGGAGGTTAGTGTCGGACTATATCTTGTCAAACCACAGGTTGCTTTGTACCTTCAGCCAGTGACTGAATAGTCTGACTTCCCCTGGAAATGGACCGTAGGTACAATCCTTCATGACAGGAAACTACAACGGCCTCCTGGTTAGCAACCTACCTAACGGAAATTTAAAGTTTTGCCAAAAGTTTGGTTCATGCAATCAGACTGTCTTGCTATTTGAGCTATTTCTATGACAGTGCTCATCTCCCAGCGTGCAAATGTTCCACTATGATGAGTCCCCTGATTCTATTTTAAAGATAAGCTAAGATATGCCTTTATTTATCTCACAGTGGAGAAATTCACATTGTTGATAGCAGCATTAAACAGAGATACACATATACGAGACAGAAAAAAGGGACACCGGTGCTGCATGCTGGGCTTAGCAACGCCGAATATGAATATGATTTTTAGAAAATACAAACAAGCTGAAGTGTTTTTCTACAGCATAGAACTGTCTCACTATGCAAGACCTCTAAAGCCATAACAAAACACCACAACATGTTATTTTCACTTTATAGAATATTGTTTAAGGTGCTAGTAGGGACATTTTATTGTGTTTGGACAGGCAAGCTTCATGTCCTCCTTTCCAGTCCACATGCTAAGCTAAGCTAACTGGCTCGTGGCAGTAACTTTATATTTGCTTGTCAGAAAAGCAAATAATAGAACAGAATAGAATCAGTCATTGGTGTTCGCAATGAAATTGGTCAGTCTGTTCATACATAACAAATAAATGGATAATTAGTTAAGCAACAGAAAAATAAAACAGCATAATAAGCATGACTCCCAAAATGCCTGAGTGTGTCTTTAAGAAAAAAGTTAAAAGTTGTAGAAGCTGTTTTGTTATTTCTCTATTCTCTGATATTATTTTGTCTCCTGAATGTGAAAAAATGCGGAAACACCACGAATGTGTCGTGAATCTGTTGGAAAAACAAACTCATAACTAATCACACTCTGCTGACTCACATCTAACAGTCTGGGTCACCTTTAACGTGAAACAACACTTTGTCCTCCTGGCTCCCTCTGCTGCCCTCTAGTGCTGCAAACCAGCCACTTAAATAGCAATAATATGAGGATGTTAAAGGATTAAACACCAACGTGGTCAAATGGAAGCAGCTGTTCCTGGTCTGGATGTTTCTGACCTGTCCTGTAATCCAAGAAGATTACGATAAATACTAAATATTTCTTTCGTGACCCCACCTGGCAGAGGTATGATCTGTCTTCCAAAATAACACACAGGTGGAGACGAAGAACTGAAAAAACGTTCCGTCTGTGATGTGTTTTTCTGACAAGTCTTTCCTTCATGTGTCCCTCATTAACTCTGCCTTCTTCCTCCCTCAGACATCAACCTGGCAGGTGAGCCGAAGCCTCACAGATCGAAGACAGTGAAGCGATCTGCAGGAGACATGTACAGGTGTGTGTTTAGTAAAAAAGTATTAGAACTTAAAGTAAAGAAAGTATGAAGCACAAGTTAATCTTTTTATCTGATCTCTGCAGCTCATCCTTTGATTTGGACTACGACTTTCAAAGAGATTACTATGACAGGTAAGCCGTCAGTTCTTTATGTTCTTCAGAGTAATTGCTCACATTTTTCTCAGTGTGCTTCTTTTCTGTCAGTTTACTGTCTAGACTTGGGGACGGCTCAATTATTTTACCGCCCGGAAGTTTGATTTGTCTTATTTTAATCGTGAATGAATTGTGTTTCAAGTGTGAGTTATTCAAAATGTTCAATGGCCAATAAAATAGTGAGAAACTAAAGATGTCTGTGCCAATATTATTAATGTTTTTCTCTCATTGTGTAACTGAAGGGTGTATGTTAAACCATTAAACATATGGTGACACCTGTATTAATGTTTCAGAATGTACTCCTACCAGTCCCGGGTGCCTCCTCCTCCTCCGCCGCTGTCCCGGGCCGTCATCCCGTCCAAGCGTCCCCGCGTGAGTCTGAGCGGCGGAGGGAGCCGACGGACCAAGACCAGCTTCTCCTCCTCGTCCAAGAGCAGCCAGAGGACTTCGCGCACGAGTAGGTCCCACAAACAGCCTCCCAAAAGCTGACCGGCTTTTGACTCCCTTCCCTAACACCAGCATGCTAACTGTCCCGCAGTGAAGGCGGACGATCTACAGACCATCAAGAGAGAGCTGACGCAGATCAAACACAAGGTGGACTACCTGCTGGAGAGCTTAGAGCGCATGGAGAAGGACCACACCAAGAAGTCGGGTAGGATTTAATGACACCGCAAATTTAAATAGAAGAATTCCAATTAAAGTTTCTATATGAGCGATTTGTGCTTGATTAGCTAAATGAAGAACTTCTGCAGGTAACATCAGGAAGCTGCACATACATGGATGTTTTTTTTCCATCACTTTTAATGCCAAATGTTTAACAGGAGCAGCATTTCTGTTCCCACAAAGTCACAAGATACGACTGCACTAAGATGAGTCATGAGGATGCAAATCTTAAATATGAGTTTTATCTGATGAAATGTTCTGCAACAATGTGTTTCGATGTGATCCATATCATTTCCAGGAATCAAGCTGACCATCCCTAGCAGCGGTTAGAATGGGATTAGAGGTTTGCATTTGTGTGTTCATCAGTGTAGCTCTTTCATCATTTTGACTTTGCTTGTAAGTTTTGTGGATTTAGAAAGCCGCCGATCCCCCAGAGCTCCATTCTGCGGCTACATCTGCTCATCCATGCCCGTTTTTCTCTGCACATCACATTTTTCCCACCATCTACTCAGAGATGAAAAGCAGCAAACCGGAGCCCGGCGAAGTGTCCCCCCTCCACTCGTCTACTTCCAGCAAGAAGGAGGACGGCCTGAAGAGGGACAGAGAGAGCCAGGAGCTGAATGACTCAGAGGACGAGGGAGATCTGCTGGAGGACGAAGACGAGGTGAGGAGGTGCAGCGCTCGTACGGCGTTTTGTTTTCCAGTTTTTCCCAGTGAAGGAAGGCCTGATTTTTGTACAGCTAGTTGAACAGATATCACAATTAGGGCTGATGCTGGTCTATCATGCAGCAGTGTTTAAAGATATTGTTGGAATAGAAACACAGCGTAATCACACACCCTAAGACAACTTTTTAAGCTAGTTGCCAAACAGCAGTCGTCATTTTTAATCCACTGATTGCTACGCAGATTATTCATTAAGACTGTTTAGTCTGTGAAATGGCAGAAATAATTTCAAAGATATCACATTTTCAGGGATTGTAAAACAAAAAGCAGAGGATTCTAGCTCCTGAAGTGCTGTAAATGTTTATTTCTTTCGCAAATAAAAGGTTTTGTGCAACAATTAAAGTGCAAAAACGTGTAATTCTGTATTATCTTGCTTATAAAAATGATGCATACATGTGATGAGACTGCAATTATGTGATGAAGGAAGAAAAAAAAACAAAAACCATCCTGATTCCACTTTTCCTCCCGTGCAGATGAAGAGCAGAGGGAGAGAGGAGGACGAGGAGGAAGGCGAGCAGGAGGAGGGCGAGGACGACGGCGATAGCGCCAACGGAGAGGAGTCCTGAATAAGACCCAGGCAGACAGACACACACATACACGTACACAAAACCAGCTTGTGTCTGATAGTTCCTCCACACCAGACTTGTACACGATGGTCCTGTGCTCATATCTGCTGAACTGACTGGACGATGACAGATTGTTGTAGATATATCGCTCCTCTCATACACAAATTATATGTGAAGTACTCGTTTCTGGATTTTCCCTTTTTTTCCTTTCGAGTTGGTCATCTGAATATTCCATACTGTTCTTTTTTTGTTTGTTTTGTTTTTTAATTTTGCTTTTTTATATAGACTTTTTCTGCATCTGGGTGTATTAGGATCAAACTCAGTTGAGGAAACGTAATATATTGTGCTTTTGAACTATAATATTAAAAATTGGAAGGTAAATAAAGCAAAGCCCCTTTGACTTTTTAGAAGATGTGAAGCCAAAAATAATCAGCAACTGATATTTTATCAAGGCTGCAGTAGAAATAAGTGCACTGAGGTGAATCCAAGGCTACTCTGGGGACTAAGATGCTGCAGTTTAGGCATGACAATTTGAAATAAATTAAAAGACATATTCCCGATCCAGCTGCTGCACAGCTTCCTTCCAACCAGCAGGTGGCAGCGTGTCCCAACAACACAAAGACCACCAGGACCTATTTCTGTTGTTCGCAGAAAACCTTCACCGTCTGCTCGCCAGATAAGAACACGAGCACGCACCAAATCTCATGTCAGACGACGCTAATGCTCGGACGCAATCCTCAACGGTCCGCAAATTGTTTTTTTTAGTTTGTTGCCGGGGTGTTGCGACCTTACCCGACCTTGACTTGTGTAATGCAGTGAATCTCCATGTTTGTCTGTTTCTGTTTTCTCATTCGACTGCACTGGTGAAAGTGAATAAACATGTTTTCCAAGTTTGAGCCTTTTAAAAGCTTTTCCTGCTACGTGAATGGATGCGTTCCTTTTTCGTGGCGAGGCCGCCGCCAGCGTGACGTGAAGGTGGAGCTAAGTTGGTAAATTGAGCTGAGAAATTACAGGTTACGCAACACAATGAGAGCGTAATTAAAATCTATGTAGGTTAGATGGTGGCTTTTAAGTGTAGATCAAACAGGTTCGGGCTGGACGTGTTTTTATGAGCTCGTCAAAAAGCTCTTTAGTATTTCTTATGTATCTTCAGATCCAACCTTGCAGGTCGTTCAGTCTCGACACATTCTTCTAATTCAGCACATAAGATCAGTTTTCCCTGAATTATGCAAAACTGAGACAACTGCACTCATGAAAAAGGTAAAAATTCTGTATTTTATCATCCTGATTGTTTGCTGCAGGCCACAAGATGAGCCTTTTCCCCCAAATTTATTCATTTTCTGATAAATAAACACTATTAAAAGTATGAAAAATTAGCTTTAAGCAGACTTTGCTTACAACAATACACAGTCAGCTATCACTGGGTGACTTTGATGCTGAAGAAAGCAAGTTCTGAAGTTGTTGCCGTCTTTTTTTCTGTGAATTCAGAGTGGATTTATGGACATCGGGGGCGATGTCTTCAGAAAGTGTAAATCACACTGAATCTAAAAATGTGTGGAGAAGGTGAATGAATTCTGATGCAGGTCGTGTCAGTCTGGTGTGAATGTCCTCGAGTCTCCTCCTCGGCCCTCCCTCCAAGTCTGCTGCACCACACTGACATACGCATGCCTTTGTTGTTAGAATATTTGTACATTTTTTTTCGATTTCAGCGAATTTAACCAAATATGATGAGACAGAAAAAGAAAAAACATCCAGTATCTGCTGTCAAAATACAAAAGCACAGAGCACACATGCATGAGAGCACACGCATGACAGAACAATCCATAACATGTGCAGCAGGAGGAAGTAAAACATCAACATCCGGTCGTGGTAAAACGTGTACTGTTAATATTAAAGGCAGCGTTCCAGGGTTTTGCCTCTGGCTGACTTAGCGTTTACTGCCTTGATGGACGGGAGGACAAAGGAGTTCTTAAAGCGGCTCAGCCTGCACTGGGGGACTTTGAAGCTTCCGCCTGAGGGAAGAAGCTGGTACTCAGGATGAAGGACATGAGTGGGATCAGAAATAATTTTTTGGGGCCTGTCTGATGATGCTTTCATCAAAGACACCCTGGAGTGTGGAGTACCGCCCGACTCCTATGATTTTTGTGGCTCTCGGTGTTGGCCCAGTAAGCTGGGCTTTCAGCTGTACGCTGAGGTTGCCAAACCCGGCAGAGACCAGGATGCTTTCAGCCATGATGCGGTGGAAGGGCCACTAGTTGCACGTCTCAAATTTCATCAAAATAATTTGTCAACTCAAGACATGGGAGGCGAAAATGAAAATAAATATGCTTGAAGCGACTCACGGCTTAATAACTAGTCAGCATCAATACGCAGCTTCCTTATTAATATACATTAATGTGCCGGGAGTCAGTGGAGGCCTTAGAGCCCAGTAATGAATGCACCAACATCAAGCTGGCAGGAATAAAGAGGAATGCAAAGAGGAAAGAGGGATCACTAATCAATAAGCTGCAGTCTTCAGGGTGGACTGTGACTAACGAGGGGACAACAGACAGAGAGGCAGGCAGGATGGATAATGAGAGCGGCCGTGATGGAGGGGTGGATGGATGGACGAACAGGCCACAGAAGACTGGAGACAGATGGAAGGGGAGCTAACAGATGGAGAGATGACAGGAAGAGCGGAAAAGATTTTGTGAGGCGGAGGGGGGGATGAAGAATGTGGAAATAGTGTAGCAGTTAAAGTGAGTGACTGCAGAGCTGTCCCCTTTATTAAAACATTGTCTAAGCGCTGCTGGGTGTTTTATAGGGGAGAGGATGCTTTGGTCTCGTCTCAGCGTGCATTTTCTTGCAAGCGCCACATTTAACGCTTTAATTTGAAATGATTACATGTTTTCGAGAAGCTTCATGGAAAATCCTACATGTTGATCATCAGCTGAGCACAGAGTCACATTTCACAGCCACAAACACTGCCTCTTTTGTATTCTTAAGTGTTTTCCAAAGCTTCACTGTTCGTACGCGTGTAGTACAGGACTGTAAATGCACGGACATGCCCCGTCTTCAGATCAGTTAAAGGCTCTGAAGAGAAAGCGTGAAGCCGCATGACTTCACGGCGCGAGAGTTCGAGGCGCAATCAAAGGCTTCAGCTAATTGAACCATCAAATTACACCGACACGCTCGTCCTGTAAAAATATATGTGCTTTGAACTGTTGCAGTGAATGTCTGTGTTGTTCTGAAAATACATGAACTAAATGAAACCGATTAGATGACACGTTTAGTTGATCAAACGTTTATTCATATATATGTTGTCAGCATGTGTGACGCTGCAGAGCCGCAGCTAAATGAGCATTCGTGAAATTAAAGTGAGTACAGGGAAGGGGAAGGTTACCACTGAGGTGTGGTCACTGTTCTGTGGGGAACGTTGATCAGTCCAGTGGAATCAGTGGTTCTGCAGCACAGAGGAGCTCCTTGATGCATGAATGCACAGGATAGGTTTTCATGCTGTAAAACATTTCTACACTTTGGATGTTAAGTAGGGATTGCTTGATTTTTGAAAAACTGTCATTTCGATATTTGCTTTTCTGCAATATACATGTATATATATATATATCCTCTTAAAACCTGAGCTCTTGCTTGATATGCATTTTTTATTGAGAATAATAAAAAAAATATATAAAGAAAATAAAAAATATATTTTAAAAAATATATAAAATATATTTAAAAGTATGCTATTTAAACAGATCAAATAGCAAAGATAATAAAACATGAAAAATATGAAGAAAATATAAATATATTTAAAAATAAAAAAATATTTAAAATAAATAAAATAACAATAGTAAAAAATAATAATCATAAATGAATTAAAAAAAAATTTACTACTGTGTTTATATAACCCTAAATGTGATGTCCAAGCATGTGGACGCCAGGTCTTAGGAGGATATATATATATATTGTGGCGTGAAAAAATCTGAGAATATTTCACCAGATGGCTTGAATAACTCTGGAAAGAAGTGTTTATTCTGGAAGGATTTGGTAGATTTTGTCGAGGAGTTAATCTGCATTGGAGGGGGAAAAAAAACTATTAAAAAAAAAAAAAAAAGCAGTTTGGATTCTCTCGTGGTGTATCACTGGCAAAGGCATTCAAACGGTTGTTGTCTCTCGATGGCAGGGATCTGGTTTTGTACTCACAGTTTTGTTGTGCTGTTGACAGAGAACCTGTTTTTGGTCAGTGTCCTCCTTTCTGTAGCTGAAATATTTCCGTACACTGACACTGGATTTGTTTTTTTGCAGCCAAATCGTCCTTTTCAGTGTTTTTTTCGCCTGTTTCTCAGTCATCATTTAAAAAATACAAAAAATGTTATATCAGACAGGCTTTTGCTCGAGGTTAATTATGGAAATTTAGAGCTGCAAGCCTGTTTTATGTATTAAGCAGCAAAAAAAAAGTTAATGTTTGAGTTAATTTGCATCACTTAACATTGCACCGCCTACGACGTGCACATCGCAACGTAGACGCTGCAGCGATATATTGTAGAATGCTAAGGCTCTTATTTGTCATGCAGCACCATCAGGAAAGGGTCTGACAGTTTCTGCAGAATATAAATTACCCCCCAAAAAACACAGCTCGAGTCACAGAGGGCAATCTTCAGTGAAAATAAGAACAGACAGTCCTGCAGCAGATGGTTTGGCCCCCACGCAACCTTGATCTCCACAACATGGAGCACATTGGAAAAACTGCACAAGTGCACCTAAGAGGACTGATGCTGTTTTCAAGGCACCAAATACTGACTTGATTGGGGTTTTTATTTTATTATTTTACTGCACTTTTAATGAGGTTATTGTTAACTTTTTATAGCATAAATTTTTTAAAGCGTCTTCACTTTACTTTTATAACCTTTGCACTTTATTATTGTGTGCCCTTCACACAACTGAAGGGATAGAGAATAGAAAAAAAGAACATAGAATAAAAAATATAAAAACAACCGGGATATTGCGTTCAAGAAGAATGGTTAGTGGGAATTTGCAGAGTTCAGGGCAACGACAGCTCTTGGGTAAAAACTGTTCTTTAGTCTGTTTGTCTTTGTCTTTATTGCCCTGAAACGCCTCCCTGAGGGTAGAAGTTTGAAGAGGTGGTGGCCGGGGTGTGAGGGATCCCTGATAATGCTACAGGCTCTCCTGAGGCAGCGGAGAATCCTCAGGAAGTAGAGTCTCTGCTGTGCCTTCTTCAGGACTGAAGTGGAGTTTGCAGTCCAGGTCAGGTCTTCACTGATGTAGGTGCTCAGGAACCTGAAGTCTGGAACCATCTCCACCCTGTCACCTGCAACGTTATGAGAGCAAAACATTAGACTTGTAATAGTTTAAATATGTGCATACACAAGGTAGAAAGTTGTGCAGATTTTATGTACATACACAAAAACTAAGCCATGGAGCGATACTGTATGCTGCTGTTAGTCTGACTCACCGGATGTTCACTGAGGGTTTAGGCCACCACCACCCACTTTCTGTTCGTGTGTCAGTGTTTTCTAATTAGCAGCAACCCACCACACTGGAAATATAACGTTTTTAGCATCAGACCTGCTGTTTTTTTGTGGTGGAGTATACATTTCAGTGACAGCTCGTCTCCCTGCATGCTAATGTTCCACCACAACAAGCTGAGTGAATAATAAATTCTCCTTTATTGGGCTGATAACCTTTTTCTGCTCCTTCAGCTAAATAAACCATCCCAGCAAGCTGGAAATAAGCCTGTTTTCTTAGCTTGTTAAAAGCTGACCTTTTGAAATACACGACTTTTACTGGGCAGCGCGTATCACCGGCTGAACGGGTCGCAGCTTTGATTCTGGAAACATATTTCCACCAACGTCTATTTGTGCAATTAGGTGTCCCATTGAGCGAGACGCAGGACATT